TACTTTTGATGTGGCTTGATAAATTGCAATGAATATTTGACATTATGTGATTTTTATTCACTTTATAAGACTTGAATTCGTCTATAGTATTTGTCACACTTTGCGTAATTGTCGCTTGTAATTGTCTGTGATCTTATTCATAAAAATCTATACAATTTAAGTAGCTGTCATTTGTCAACCTTTTGTTGGCGAGTAAAGCCAATAAAGTGGTCATCAGTCGGCCGATATTGACAAATTTGCTGGCTTCGCTTTTTTAATTTGCTCTGTTTGCTGTGAAGCTATACTATAATACGACTATAGTCCATCTGTTTCTGCCACGTCAGCGACTTATAGACGATTTGATGATTTTGCAATTTGACGGGACGAATAGGAAATACACCGAAGCAATTGGTGAAATATATATTTCGTATACGAGTATATGTACTATATTTTATTTATAATATTATATTCCTTTTTTTGTGCCAATTTTGCGTCAACAACTTAGTTTTGTGCTTCAAAATCTGAACACACACGTGCCATAAATTCCTGCAACGTCAAAACAGATTTGCCATGAAATTGTGTGTGCGACGTCATAATTATTTTAATAATTGCTGGCTATGTGCTTCATCAAGTTTTGGCTCATTGGTGCTCCCGATATATAGCGCCAGTATCCGGTTCAATAAACAGAATATCGCCCTAAGCGTAGTTGAGATATACATATTTGAAAATTTGCACGCTCTCGATTTCATTTTCGAAGTCGATTTCTATTTCTATTCAGCTGCTGGCCATATTGCTAAGAGCATAGCTTTAATACCACTATGAAAGGAAAACACAAAATGAATGAAAATGTTAATGATATTAGCGAATGTCATGCAAATGAGTCATTCGCCAGATAAAAAGATTGGGCGATTGGTGAACGATTTGTGTGGTGTGTCAGTTTGGGAGATACATATGTGTGGATTGTGTTGCGTGAGAAGCGCAAAATTTGGAAAGCAATCTGTGTGTGAATATCTGAATTAATACAAAACTGATCAATATAGTTACAAATATATAGCTCGAGCTTTAATTAGGAAATACGAGCAATGGGATGGGTCAGCCATCCATCGATTGAAAATTTATGGCTAGGTTGTTTGGGGTAATCAGCTCATTATATAATTATGGGAAACAGTTGAATCAAAATATCAACTTAACTGTAAATTGCAAACACAAACAAAAACAAACACCATGAGTAAATATCGTAGCTTAGATCAGCAGCCTGGTCTTATAATTAACGCCTGCCAGTCCCCCATTACACTTGGCTGGTTTCTGTGCCAAATAAAAGAGTGTATAAGTGTATGGGTAGAAACGAGCTCGGATTCAGCATAAGTCTCGCTATTTATTATCGATAAGCATCTTTTGTTGCGTGCTATGCCGTCAAAACTTTAGTTCTGCCATTTGGAAGCGAAAGAAATACGCAACGTACCGAGCAAACAATTACACTCAAAACCGTACAGTGGAATTGTGATTAACTAACTGTCTGCGTTCTGTATGGGGAGCTCGAAAACTGTGTTTTTAGTTTATTATTTGGGTTAGCAGAGATTTGGTTCATGAATTGTGCGATTAGTCGAAAGAAAAAAGACGGGCGGATTGAAGAGTCTAACACAACTCATAATTAATATTAGTTAGCATTTAAAAATACGTATTAATGGAACGAGATGTCTGTTTTGTCAGTCCATATTGTAATCGGAAAGGCTTTAAGCTAAGCGCAGTAACTGATTATATGTATGGCGTCAATTGCAGCAATTTCTTCATCCATTTCCATTCCATTCACTTTAATCCGATCCACTCTACTCCACTCTACTCGCTGACTCGGCTTCAATGCAAGTGAAATCATAATTGCAAATCGATTTCAACTCAACGCACGCCTCTCTATGTGGCAAGTGCTTATTGTTCGCAGCATTTGCTTCGAATTGCATTGGGCCGCAGAAACTGGTTTAACATTCCACGAACACCACAAAAGATTCTAAGAAACCAACAACCCATACCCACACCCATCCCCATACCCATTCGTTCATCTCGAGTGCTTGCAACTGAAGCGGAAATGATTGCTAGGTTCCTTCTACGGCCGATCTCTCTGTTTACACGAGATCTTGTTCCCACTTGGACGCCGGTAACTAACTATAGTATATGCGAATATGCACCTGATTTGCTGCAGTTACTCTGTTGTTGTTATTGTTGAAATGACTCGCGGAGTCACGTTGCAGACGTTAATCGCCGGGTTACGGCACTGGAACTTGTTTTCATTTGGGTTAAATGTAGGGTTCAATTGCTGCTGCCGGCTATAGTTCATAATGTTATGTCTATCATGTAACGGCTCGATTATGTTCGTTGCAATTAGAATGCAACGTACAAGGTAAGAATCTCAATTTTCTATAACTGAATAGGTCCGTCTTCTTTCTTAATATTCGTTGATTAATAAGAGGAGTAAGCTTTGTTTGAATAGGCAATATTTGAGTTCCTTCTAGTGTGATACTGGAGCTACATTGAAGTGGGAGTATACTGTATACTGTACTGTACCATATTTAAGATAAACGTACAACAAATCCCTTTACTTTGGTTTAAAAGCTTCTATCTTTGCGGCCTTCAATTTTGAAAGCTTCAACACAGATTCCACACAACACAAATAAACAATTAGCCACAGCCTGAAAGTATACTAAGCTTTTTGCCCATATATGCCAATCTTCGCTTCTGGCATACACTAGGTGGCGCCGAAGTACGTTGCTAATATGAATATGCGCGACTTGAGCTTCTTTATAAGTTTAGGAGGCATCTTTGATTTATCAACCGACAAATATTTTAATTAGGCTTTTGCTTGCTTGTTCAGCTTAGAAGGCAGCAAACATTGGGTACAAATAAATAAATAATTATTTATTAGATACAAAAACAAATAGCTAGGTTCACAATTTTTCACTGATTTAAGAAATCTTATTAGAACCCGCATCTGGCCATTGACCATTTTGCCTCTAAATGTTTAGCGAACCCGCTACCAGTCCATTCAAATATTTTTCAAGTTGCTTCTGCTTCTGCCCCTACTGTTATCAGCAGTTCTGTTGACTTTCAAAAATATATATGTATGTATGTACATATCTAGTATACATACTCATATATATTCAGTGATCTTTTGGTTGTTGTTGCTGTCTGACTTTGAAGTTGTGTGCTTTACGCTTCTAGCCAAACAAATCTTATCAGCACATAGCACGCGTTTTTCTTTTTTTGTAATAAAATTAGTCAGCGTTATGGCTGTTACGAATTTATTTACGCACAGATGGCATAAAGTTGTTAATACTTGAATTAATGTTCCTTTAAACATTGCAATTAAATTGGACCTAATAAACTGATGCCAAACAGACACAACTGTACCCAATTGGACTTTATTCAATTGCTGTGTGCACCTCTAGCTTTTGTTGTTGCTGGCATGTGTGTGCCTGTGTGTGCAGTGTTTGCCTTCACTGCTCCAGTCAAAGCAAACAGAAGCGCGAACCACCATCCATTAAGCCAACACCACACACAAGGGCTGTTTGGGGACGCCACACCTGTCCTCCCCCACCATCTCCTACTCCACCCACGCAAATGCAGTTGGGTGTGTGTCATTAACGCCCAACCGGCATTTAGAACCCAGCTAGGCTTTTAACGTTAATTGGCAACTAGGGGTGGCCCACCCTGCTGCATGCAACGTCACGAATGGGGCAGCGGGTAAGCCGGCAGATAACAAGCGCCGATAACCATGGTGAATACCTATATAGAGTCGTATAAATATTATGATTTGTATACCTGTGTAACATTGGCGTAGCCAGAAAATTCTCTGAAGGATGTTGTCCCAGAACTGAATTCTAAAATTGATTTGGCGTTGGCAAATAATTTGGTTAATGAAAAAAATTGCATAATTAATGTGCACTTTTGTTTTTCATATTTATATTAATTAAGAAAAAATCCAAAATTGAGGTTCAATTGCCTGTTTTTTTTTCGAATAATTAGCTTACAAAAATGTGTGTGTTTTTTTATAATTTTAATATTTTTATAGAAGATTGTTTAATAATAAATAAAATTAAATGTTTAAACCAATACCAATACTTGGTAAATTTAAAAAGTGACTACGAATATTTGAATATATGTACATATCTGTTGAATATTTGAATATATATATGTACATATCTGTTAATATTGAATTTTTTGAAAAATGGTAATAATTATGTTCTTGAACTTTTTAATTAGGGTCACTAAACTCGCGGCCAGCTTATTATTGCAAACTATTTAATATTATTTTATTATTTTATAAGGGAAATACAAGCACTTCACTTTTTATGGCTTTCCCCCTCCCCCCACTCCACCACTTCATTCAGCCACCACTGTAAGCCAACCTGAAAAAGTTGTTATTGGTGTTTGTCAGAGTTCCGTTTTGATTTCCTTCTTTTTTCGAAAATATAGTAAGTATGTATCGACTTCTGACGGTTTCATTTCCGAGAGCTTGCATGTGGTCCTGGTCTGGGTGTTGGTGTTTGTGTTTGTGTGCGTGTCTGAGCAGCAGTTGAATGAACTTAATGCATTTAATGCCGTCAATAAATAGGTTTGTAATGAACTATTTGTGGTGGCAAAGGTGAATGAACTTGTCGCCTGGATGAATGGGTTATGAGGAGAGTGAAAGGATTAAAGACATAATCGTACATGAAAAAGGGGTGAGAAAATGTTTAAAAACATACCATTTGGATTTTTTAGCAATGTAATTTTGTTGGTGCTTAGTCGCAAAATTAATATTATATTTCTGCAGAATATTAATTTGAAAATGCGCGATTTAAATCATATTGTTTTTTATGTTTGTTATCGTCAAATTCTTGAACTACAGTTTCGCTTTCAATTTCTATGCTTTGTAATTCATAAAAATTCAAATGTATTTGACCTCGAATTACCAACCCATAAAATATTTGCAAAATCGTTTATTCCATTTGGTTAATTTTTTTCTCTCTGTTTCCTTTTTGTTGTTGCAGGCACTGCCCGAAGTTTATTGAAATGTTAAATTGCAAAACGTGAAGAAACGTGAAGCAAGCTTTAAACAAAAACAAAAATCGTTGCACTTACAAGCAAATTACGAAGTAGCCGCAAAAAAAACAAAAACAAAAATACGAAAAGCTTAAAATGGGCACATGAAAACAACAACAAAAACAACCATGAGACAAGCTATAATAACGACGACAACAACAACGAGAACTGCAGCTTAAACAAAACAAAGCACAGCACATCAACAACAACAACAACAGAACGCATTTTTAAACGCTCAGCGACATTGAAATAAAAACGAAACACGAAACAAGAATTAACTTGTTCACGTAGCCAACCACCCACCAACCACCCACCCAACACTCGAACCACGACACGTGCGCGCGCATGCCCAGCAGACAGACGAAAGGGACGGAAGCATGAGGGCAACTAAAACGCTCAACTCATGGCTGCCCATAGCTGTGGGCGCCTGCGTGCTGCTCGCCTGCATCGCGCCGACGTGCCGTGCACGTTTCATTGCGAAAAGAGAAACCAGTCATGAAATGGCCACCACGCCTGACCCTGACACGCTTGTCACCAGCACCTATAGCCCCACCAGCACCACAAAGTTGCCAAAGTCCAGTGAAAGTGCGGTGGAAGGAACAGTGACAGTATCAACAACCCCCGAAATTGCTACGTCCGTGGATCACAAGCTGGACTTGGAGCTGACAGCAACAGCAGCCAGCTCCACCACTGACGGCACTTCGACTGCCACAGAACAAGTAGCATTCCAGGGAGGAACAACAAGAATAGTGGCAGTGGTGGCGGAACCAGGCAACAACACCAGAGATCAGAAAGTGGCCGGACGAGCCCTGCATGATGCCACCACAGAGTCCAGCAGTTCCCCAATGCCTCCCAAACTTGCTGTCACGCCCATGAAATTGCATGCGCTCATCACAACAACAACAACACCCACTCCATCAACAACAAAGGCAACAACTCTAGGCGCCCAACCCACAATTTCAGCCTCGCACGAGAATAGTATTGATGAGTCAGCAGTGAGCAATAATGGGATGCGTCTACTGCCAGAAAAACGAGGTAAATTCATAAGCGAAAACTCGACTAATTCCCAGCAGCTGAGTTGGCCAAATGCGGCCGAAGCCTGGAGCTTGGCGGCTATGAAGGCGGTGCCAAAGGCAGGCCATTTTTTAGCTTCACCAACAACCACAATAACAAGCACCACTAGAACGCCACCAAATGGCACAGAGGTGGCCAATGAGATTGAGTGGCAACAGCAGCATGGTCTACTGGCTGGACAGGGGGAGGGGGAGGGAAAGGGGGCAAATCAAACCGATTTGCTAAATGAGAAGAATTTGGTAGATTGGCAGCACATCATGATGCATGGTGCGTTAGAGAATCGAACAGAGTTTGTGTTCAGCAGCACGGCGGATGCCACTGAGGGCACAACGCAGGCGGCAACAGCTGCCACCAAATTGTCTGCAACAACAACCACAACCACTGCTAGTCAAACAGCTGATAGACACGATGATAAAACGAATGCACCCAATGACGTTAAAGATGCAATTGAAACGACAACAACAACGCCAACACTAACACCAACAATTACGATAAAGGCAGATGCTACAACACAAACAACAGCACCAACAATTCAAACAACCACCACCCCCACCACTACCCCCGCAAATGAATTGGACAGCAATATGGCAATGAAAGCGCATGAAATAAATGAAAATGCTGATAAAACCAACAACACTAGCAGCAACAATTACGATGGCAACGAACGTAGCAACCAACAGAGAGAAGACGACGTCATCGCCATCGTCTCAAGCTCAGCAATAACAGCGACGACAACAACAACAACAACGACACCATCGTCACTCTCCGAGCGAACTTCCAGTGCGCCACCAATAACAGTTACGGTTAGTACGCAAGCAGCTGGCGAAGCGAGCACGTCAAACGCGGAGAAGCAACAAACATCGACGACGCCAACAGCAACAGCAACAACAACAAGTGCGACTACATCGACGACTGTAAAAAGTTTGCCTATAAAGGCAGAAGAAGAACAAACAACAGATACTATTGCAATTGCAACAACAACAGCGAGTACAACAACAACTCAAACGCCAACACAAACGGAAATTGGCCAAATTAGCAATGAAGTGAATTTAGAAACAATTACGCTGAAAAGTGTACAAATTAAGGCAGAAGAAGCAGCGGCGACAACGACGACGACAACGTCGAGTGACGTGAACGAGTTATTAATAACAAACACAACGGCAGCAACAACGACAACAACAGCAACGTATACCACTACAGAAGCCACAACAGCTGGCAAAGCCAATAACAGTGCAACAGTGGAAAATATAACTGAGGAAAGCAGCACAAGCCCAGCAACTACAACTACCACCACAACAACAACAACAGCAGTACTAACAACAACAACAACAACAACTCCGCCTACGCCTACATTATTTGCCGACCTAAAGGAAACTCACAAAACTGGCGAACAGGAAAGTTCGCTCGAAACAAATAAAATAACTGAAACAGTAGAAGCAACAGCTGAGAGCAAACCAACGACAACAACACCGGCAACAGCAACAACAGTTGCAGGCACAACAGCCGAAGCAACAGCAACAACTGAGCAGCTGGCTAAAAGTGACATTTATGTAGTTGAGGGGGGAACAGAGCAACCAAACGCACTTGGTGAATCGGATGAGGGCACAGCAACAACAACACATACAACGACAACAGCAAGAGCAGCAACTAAGGCAACATTGGTGGCAGGTGGCTCGAAAGGTGAAACCAACGAACAATACGAAGATAATGATGATGCAGATGACGATGTTGCCCATGTCGATGAAAATAATGATGATGAGCAACAGTTGCTGAGCAAAAAAACAACAATGGCAACTTTGTCAACGACAAATGCAACACCACCAACAACAACTACCACCACCACGCCAGAGGGACCATTGATAAGTCTGCTGGATGATAGTACCACCAGCACCACCACAACCACCACAACTACCAAAACAACAATACCTACAACCACAAGTAGAACCACCACAGAGCAAATCCCAACAATAACAGCGGCAACAAGAACCACAACAATACGCAACAACAGCAACAACTCTACCGATATCTACAAGATGTTGCCAGTGGAAACGACAACGCCCAACACCAATGGCTTGCTGGTCAAGCCCACTAACTACAACAGTAACAACAACAGCATCAACCCAGACTTGGAGACTCTGCAGCAGCCGAATTCCACAAATGCACATGGCGAAACAGACGTGAATGTCATAATAGCCATTACGGTTAGTGTGATAGGAGTAGTGGCTCTAATCCTGCTTGTCGCCTTCCTTTACCTCATGCGCAAGCGACAGAAGCAAATGTCTTATGGCCAACGCTGTCGTCCAGTCAGCCTGGATGACTATTCGCTGGACAACGTATCGGTTTTGGGGAGTGTGCGACGCAAAGGACGAGATTTGCGAGCATCCAAACGGACGTATGGCAATGCAGCCTTCGACGATCCCTCGCTGCGCCATAATGTGCTCAGCGCCACCGAGCTGGGAAAGTTTGTGGAGCGACGTTCGAGCATTTTTGAGGAATTCCGGGATGTGCCGCAGATAATAGCCCGTGCTGATGAGGTTCCAACTGGCTGCGAGGACAAAAATAGGTGAGTTTTAGTTGGACAATGAAATCAATGTGAGATGTGAGATATAAAAAGATAACAGATTCATTTTTCATGTAACCATCTTTAAAGATTCGAAACTATTGAAAAGATTTAAGCATTTTAAAAAGTATTTAAGATAAATAATTTATTATATGGATTTTTAAAACAGATTCGGTGCTTAATATTTCATTCTTTAATATTTTTTATTGTAATCCGAATTTTACAGTGGAGGAGATCCATTTAAAACTTATAATGAAATAATATCTAAATCAAATTTCGAGCAAATGAAGTATTATTATATTTTTGCACAATTGGTAGAAAGGTCTGCATTATACAAGCATATATTGTATTTGAAAATAAATACTATATACTATTAACTAATTAACTTCCTTAATAATACCGCAACCACAGATATGCCAATGTAATTCCGCTTCCTGAGACTCGAGTTGTGCTCCAACGTCAGGGCGATGACGAAAAAACGGAATACATTAATGCCAATTACGTGCGGGTAAGTTAACTCCAACCTAGCCCTAAACAATCACGACTTCAGCAGCACACTTTCCCACCAACTATATGCCTGTATGGGTGTGAGTGAGTATCTTCCAGATGCATATGTAAGCCCTACAAAGTCATAACTCATGGCCATATTTATGTACATACGTTTGTTGTCTTTCGGGGCAATTAAATATGCGAGTTGCCTGCATAATTATACGCTTCGTGCGCTTGGCATGACGAGCTTTAAGCTCAGCTCGGCTCAGCTCAGCTCAGTTCCTTGTGACTGACTTGATTTGAATTTGTCTTGCACATCGGCTATAAAAGTAAAACCGCTGCCGTAATCGAAATTGTAAATTGTTTCAACGGCATCGTCGACGACGCGTGATGCACACAATGCATAAAAGCTGCATTGCTATTTCATTGATGCGAAGTTTTCAATATCCGGCGTAGACTAGAGATGGGTCTAGACCGATCCCTAAGATTCCTTCGGTTATATTTAAAGAAAACTTCAATAAAAGACGGCCCATGCCCATATCTAGCCTGAGGTATCTCCCACTTTCGCACTCTCCTGCCAACATGCGATAACCGAAAGCGCCGTGATTTTTGAACGGTACTATAAATCCACTTATCACAATACGCGAGTGCTGAGCACGCAGTTTCTGCCTGTCGAAGAACCCGTCAACCATAACTGACTCACCGCGCACATACTCCTACACACACCAGAAAGACAGATGTTTATTAATTAGCTTCGCATACATACACATGAATACATACATACATAAGTTTTAAATATTAAATGACTTGAAGGCGCATGTTCTTTCGTGCACTCTCTTTGGCAATTTCTAACCATTTTTTGTTTTACCTACTAGGGCCCTAACGATGCTCCCAACTATTACATAGCCTGTCAAGCACCTTTGGAGAGCACTATTAGCGACTTTTGGCGCATGATCTGGGAGCAGCAGTCGCGCGTTATTATACAAGCCAGTGATCTTGTTGAGAACGGTGTTGAACGTTGCGCCGAATATTTGCCCCCATCGGCCACATTGGACAATCACAGCACCTATGGCGACTTTCAGGTGACGCTGAAGAATCGCGAGGTGAAGGATAAGTATGCGATCTCTACGTTAATGCTCAAGCGTTCTGATGGTAATGAGAGTCGTGAATTGACCCACTACTGGTACAAATGGCCAGAAACGGGTGTACCTGCCGAGGAAGCGCCCATAATTGCCATGTTGCTGGAGGCACGATCCTCGCTCAAGTCCTATGCCATTGAACAGGCTAACGAGCTGAAAGAGAAGTCGTCCACATTGACGCTTAAATCAATGGAGTCCTCTGTCGATGCAGACACAAAGAAGATGGAGGCGTCTAGCACTTCGAGTGGTGGGAGTGGCAGTGGCAGCAATGAAATCAACGGCAATTTGGGCTCCAGGGGCGCTCGAAATCAACAGGGGTAAGTGCAATCTATGCGTCTTGTATTGTCTATCCATGTATTGCACGTCTCACTGTTAAACGTTTGTGTCTTTTCGCCCCTCTCTAGTCCGCTAACTGTTCACTGTTCCCCAGGTACCGGACGCACCGGAACGATTATTGGGTGTGACTTGGCCATTCGCAGTTTGGAGACGCCCAAACAGGTAATTACCGAAGAATCTGCTAAATGGAGGATTTCGAAGCCTTGTAGAATTGGTCAATATTTATAAAAATAAATGCATATTATTTTCAGGTTGATATACCGCAGCTTGTCTACTATGTGCGTCGTGGGCGTGCCAGTGCAGTGCAGACCAAGGAGCAATACGAATTTATCTATAAGGTGGCCAACATGTACGCGACCAAAATCACAAATCTGTCGAATGATAACTGAGCAGCGCTACTCAGCAGTGTACAGCTGAGAACACAAGTCCTTAGACATATTCATATTAGAGTCATAGACAGTATTTTGTATCTAATTATATAGCAAAGTATCTTAGCTTAAGTACCCTGTATGTATGTATTGAATTGCACGACAACGTATGCAGCGATTCTTTTGAATAACTACTACACCTGAAAGTTTTTTGTGCTTTAATCTTCATTAAAAATGTATTCCTTTTTAATTGTGATATAATTGTACATTTGTATATCTCTGTATAATCTGTTGCATATTTATTATTATTCGAGCATGTTTAGTTTTGAGCTTGGCAACTGCGCGTAGAGTTATTTGCGTTCCTTATTGCATAAGCTTAATTAATTTGTGTATATATTTTTTATTTTAATTCTAAAAATTTGAATACAACGTGCATAGTAAAATAAATCGCTTACGTGTATTTTGAATGAGCTTTAATATACATTTATAAATATCAAATATTCTCTGTATTGTACTCATTTGCTTAAAATATATAGAATATGATACAAATAAAGAAAAATACAAAAAGAAAACATGCATTCCATTAAAACCCATTGCTTATAACAATAAACAACAAAACACCTAACCAAAGCCACTTTGGGCGCCAATAGCTGACTTATTTAATTTATTTTTCATAAAATAATTTGTAAACAGCCCTCCTCTGCGCTTCTCATTGGTTGCACCTAACCAAAGCCACTTTGGGCAACAATAACTGACTTATTTAAATTATTTTCCATTAAAAAATTTGTAAACAGCCCTCCTCTGCGCTTCTCATTGGTTGCACCTAACCAAAGCCACTTTGGGCAACAATAACTGACTTATTTAAATTATTTTCCATTAAAAAATTTGTAAACAGCCCTCCTCTGCGCTTCTCATTGGTTGCACCTAACCAAAGCCACTTTGGGCAACAATAACTGACTTATTTAAATTATTTTTCATTAAATAATTTTTAAACAGCCCTCCTCTGCGCTTCTCATAGGTTGCACCTATCCAAAGCCACTTTGGGCAACAATAACTGACTTATTTAAATTATTTTTCATTAAATAATTTGTAAACAGCCCTCCTCTGCGCTTCTCACCTAACCAAAGCCACTTTAGTCACAAATTCCAGTGTGTTTATATCGAAGAAGGATGGTAGCTGGCCTACATACTATTTGGAAAATTGGTGGGGACTATCTCCAGCTAAAAGCTTAGCACCCGGACGAAGTTAATGGACAGGTGGAGCCCAATAACTGTGGGACTTAGTCAATATTATTTCTTTCCTTTTCTATTTATTTCTTCCACAAATAGTTACAAATCGAGCACAACATTCCAGGTATTGGTCAAGTATTGGTAAAGCGATTATTTATTTGGCAAAGAAGTAAACATAATAAAACTACTAAATGTAACATTTTAAAGCTGCATCTGTGGCCGAAGTGCGTATATCCTACTTCATGGCCAATTTGATAGCAAGATATATACTGGATATAAAGATTGCAGCAATAGCCAGCTTTTTGAGATTAGCACGATTCACGCCCTTTATGGTGCGCACCACATCCATGTTTAAGCGAAACACATTACGGCTTTCTTCAATAAACGCAGCACGAAGCTCGTCGTCAAACTTACCGTACTGCTCATTGAAAACCCGGCGAAGTTTTGACTTTAAAACGGATATTTTCATGGGGAAAAATGTAGCCGCACAGCCAGGTGGACATATAGTAACCTGTGCTGGCATAGGACGCGCCTGCAAATCTTCTTCATCAATAACACCTTCACCGGCATTGGCGGCGGCCGTTGCGGTGGCAATAGCCGCAGCTGCGTCGGCTTCAGCCTGTTTTTGCTGCTGATCGCTGTCCTTTGAAAACACCCAGAGTTTGCGAGCTATCATACGTTTTTTTTGCAACATCTGGCCGCCAGACATAAGAGCCATGTACATTTGGTAGGCATATGCGAAGAGAAGCAACTCGTTTTGGGCAGCAACCTTTTCTAAGTGTGCTATATATTTCTTTACGCTTTCTCGGGGTTCATAGGTGTTCTTCCAATCAGCACCATAGAAGTGAGAAAAGTCCTTTTCGAATGCCTCAGCCCGATATAGCTCCTTTGGGAGCAGGCGCTCTGGCAAATGCGTCTCAAAGAATTTGTATACTTCGTAGAAAGCAAGCAGTCCATCATACCAAACTTCGTCATCAGACAGAGCTAAAGTTTTCAGTTCACTTAATTAGTACATCCTACTATTTATTATGCACACTTACCAAATGCAAACTTTGCATTGATAAGAGTATCGCTTAAGTTGTGTACGTCCTTTGTTGCTTTTCGCAATTCTCTAGTAAATTTCATATCAACGTAATCATCTGCGCCCACTTTTTCTTTCTCCTCAACATTATTTTCTGAGGCCAATGGCTTTTCCTCGATTACTGACATGACGAAACTTTTCCGCAGTAATAAAGTGCTCTAATTAACTTAATTTCAAACTGAACGTGATTTGCGGAACAATAAAGCGTCCTATATTTATTGAATTTCGAACTGAATGTGATTTGTCATTAAATACGCCGTATTTGTTTTTAAAATCAGAGGTGTGTATGATATATGAACATCAATATCGATATCGGAACATCGGAATCGCTCCCGATTTGTTATATATCATTCGCTGTGTTTGCTACCACAAACAACAGCAAGTGAGGTTCCATCACTAGCTTAGAGCGGTGGACGAAGTTCTTAATTGTTAGTTCATTGCAATTGTTTTGTTATTTTAACGTATATTTTCAAAGCAAAGTAAGTGTTGGAATATAAGCAATGTGTTGCTGGTCGTCGTGAGTGTATTTTTAAAGTGGCTAACAAGTACACGCATAAGCAATATCATATATGATTACTAACACCAAACTGCGCTCTATCATAATTAACAAACAACTCTTTTATTACTTGCTGTGCTCACACAACAAAACACAAACATACACGCGCCCAAATATAATACAAATTACAACACAACTACTGGGTCCTTGGTTCTACTGTCCTAGCTTTTGTTTCTTCTAAACACATACCACCCCACCACTTCCCCTATCCAACAGTTGCTTTAGTAAAGCGTACAGAAAAGAAAGAAAAAAAAAACAACCAAAAAGCAATGTCGGATCTCTTTACCACTTTTGATAGCAACGGTGGCACGGGGCACTGCACCACGTCTAACGATATTGCAATGGCATCGCCCTCACAACACAGCCCCATGACAAACAATAGTAGCTCATCCTCACAAAATGGTGGAAGCGGTGGCACATCAACAGGCACAGCTACAATCGGTGGCGGTGGGTCCGCGGCTGGGAAAGGCAATCACAGTTCAGCAGTAGGCACTGAAAACACACCCGTAAGGATAACATTAAGACTCCACTATAGAACCCCCCATACATAGCTGAGTGCGTCCACTTTTTTCAGATGCTAACGAAACCACGTCTCACGGAGCTTGTACGCGAAGTCGATACGACAACCCAACTGGACGAAGATGTCGAAGAATTGTTGCTGCAAATAATTGATGACTTCGTGGAAGATACTGTAAAGTCGACGAGCGCCTTTGCCAAGCATCGCAAGGCCAATAAAATTGAAGTGCGCGATGTACAGCTGCACTTCGAACGCAAATACAATATGTGGATACCCGGGTTTGGAACCGATGAACTGCGGCCGTACAAACGCGCGGCGGTGACGGAAGCACACAAACAGCGCCTGGCTTTGATTCGAAAAACTATTAAAAAGTATTAGAAGTGTGTAGCGTATTGATAAACTCAAATAACAATTCCCAATCCTTATTGGTTGCTGACTGCAGTATAGGAATATCTTATAAACGGTTCAAAATCAGCTTCGCTGTCTGATATTTGATCTAATGTACAATAAATCACATTTCATAGACAATTTACTATATTTCGAATTTAGTATTGGATAATTTACTTCTATTCGATTCCATAAAACTGAAGGCGGGTTCACAGTTTTAGTGTTGAAAGCAGAACTCTTCTTTAAAAACTTTCTGATAAGTTTTGGTTTGAATAAATTAATTAGTTTTTATTTTAATGAGGTCTTTTTATGACATTGTTAAATAGTCTCAGTAAGCACTTTTACTTCAGGCTGAATCGTAACTGATTACAGGAGAAATGACTATATTTTTTTTTATTCAGATTCAGTACGTGATAAACTCCAAACTAATGAGCGTTCATTATTTCTATGCTGCTTCGAACGGTTGTGGGACTTTAAATGAGTATTGCGTTGAAAAGTCTGGTTGCATATTTCACAACTGCAAATAAAATAGAATGCGTTAAAATAAAGCCTTTTAACAGGTTAAGTAGGGGGTTTGCATCCAATAACAATAACTTACTGATAGGGCCTTTCTCCGGTATGTATTAATTCGTGTCGTTTCCGGCCAGATGCTGAGTTAAAAGTCTTGCTACAAGTCTTGCATGCATACGGACGAATATTGGTGTGTATGCTGCAGATATGGAATATCACAAAAGTTCAGACCAATAAATGTATAAGTTATTACAAATTACTAACCGTTCATGCATGGAACGCGATGTGCTATTGTGAAAGGCCCTGCCACAGTGTTTACAAACGTAAGGTTTCTCGCCTTTGTGGGAGATACGTACGTGAAGTGATAGCAAGTGCTCCGTATAGTACTTTTTACCACACTCTGTGCATTCATAGTTTTTAACTCCGGTGTGACGAAGCATGTGCAGTTTGAAATTACTTTGGTCGGTAAAGTGTCGGCCGCATTGATCACAGACATGGTCTCGGCGACGCATTTGACGTTTACGCTCGACAATCTCTTCTTCGGTGAGACATTTCCAGCTAACATATTTCTTTTTCACAGCATGCTTTTTGTTGGTATCGATCTCAGAACTTGTAGGGTATTTAGTTGAGCTCGTGGCCGAATTGGTTTTGCTTTTCGCGGGTTTGGATGGAAGACCGTCGGCTTCGGCAGTACTATCGGGCAACTGTTTTCTCCTGCTTTCTTCGTTGCTGCCACTGCTATCCGTAAAATCCTGATTGTCTTCATCCTCACCACTCGTGACACTGCTTTCATCAATGGCACTGATAAACTCCTTTTGCATTGTTGCAATCAATGATTCGGGATCTTGGGCTGTTTTATCCTCTTCTGGAATGCCAAATAAATCTCGCGCATCTTCGAAATCATCATCTATTTCATCTACATCTTGGTTTGCCGCTTCTAAAGCTGCTACCTCATTATAAACTTCTTGACTTATTTCCTCGTTGTCATCATAGTCATCGTCATATTCTGTGTCAGGCACAGGTATTGCTGTTACCTTCCGATCATTGTACTGATTAAGAAACAATTTTTGAGTCCTAACGCAACGCTCACGAAAAATTATAACTTGATTCAAATCAAGCACGCACAAAACGCAAATGCACGTCGGCAATTCGGGTTTGTTGACAAGCTGCAAAAAAATTAATGTATTCATTTTTAACAAAAAGACTGTTGTTTGTATTAGAAGTGAATGCACTTGAGCCACCTTACCTGTGTACCCAGGAAAAGCTCTATTTCATCCAACAGAGGAGCATTCTTTGCTTCGAACAGATTTTTTGAGTTCGATTTGTAAGTTAAGCCACCGCATGTCCGACATTGCAGTGGCATTTTTCAAAATATATACAATTTCAATATTCAAGTACAATGTCTGGGTTATCAACACCTAAAACGGATGCCTTTAATAAAGCGGCAGCGTCAGCTGCTTTTTGTTGACATTCGCTGTTAATAACTGTAAATACAAGAGGAAGAACAATTCCGTTTTTTTGTATATCATACATCTATAAAAAATGTTCACATCAGATAACGAGTCCTAATTTGGAACCAAGTGTCCTTTGTTAAAATCTACCATAAAAAGAGGTTCTAGGATAGCAGTCTAAGATCTAGTGTACTGTGACAGTTAATTAAGACATCCAATAATTAAGACAGAAATGATTTTAATTGATAATTCTTCTTCTTGTAAAACTGTTATTACATGTATTGTGTGCGTTTCACGGGGAATGAATTCGCATTGGGATTTGTTTTAAATGTATATCTTTCGCGTATTTATTCTATTGTTTTGTGCAATAGTTTTAATAAATGTTCGAGGAAATGGATGAAATGCAACGTTTTTGCCGCGTATGTGGCAAAAAAACCATCTCCGATAAAAGAATGAACCTTTTTTCAAATGATAATAAAGGTATTTTACGTTGCTTACGACAAATCACAAATTGCTGGGTAAATACACGAAATAGAAATGTTTGATTTAATCATTAAAGCTATTTCTGCAGATCTCAAATGTGCCCGATTTTCCTTGCAACATGTGTGTGGAATGTCATTCATTCTTAAAAAAAATTAACTCTTTCCGAAATCGCTGCATGAAAATAGAAAACTTTCTCTCAAGGAACAAAGTAAAGCTGACCGTTCATTTACAGCATGCGGTTGAGGTGGAACCTCAGATACAATCACAACCGTTGCCAGCTGATGCGGATCCTTTACAAATTGAAAATACACAACTGAATCTCAAACCAGCTTCATCTTTGGACGGAAACTGCGTTAAAGCAGAACCATCCGATAAAACGCTGGAGAAAAACGACGGCATTGAACAGAGGGAACAAAAATATAAATTAACCGATTGGGATTTTAACAATCAAGTCGATGCCGATTCATATTTACAGAGGCATGATGATGCAGATATGTCAGCAATGGCTGCGGATCTGCCTACGTCATCAGAAGAAACTACATCTGATACGCAACCAATAACAACACCGGAAAATGTGAGTGAAAATCAGTCCAAGCAACGGTCCAAAAGATATACAATACGTCTGGGAAAGCGGCTCGTACAGGTTAAGATGACAAATGAAAAAAAACGTATTGTATGTCGTCAGTGGCCGGTGTCCCAGCCATGCATTTGTGAGCATTGTGGCCGTCAATTTAAGGACGTGAGCAATTTAAATATTCATCTGTTGCGGCACACCGGTACAAAGAATTTCGAGTGCGAGCAATGCCATCAGAAATGCTATACGTTGCATTTGCTTCGGCGCCACCAACTGAAACACACAGAAGGTCCTTACCCGTGCACCTTCTGTGGCGTTGAATATAGCACGAACAGCTCCAGGGTGCGCCACGAAAGGTAGGTGAAAGAACTGGATAAAACATATCCTAAAAACTGGAAAACAAATTTATTTGCAGAGAGGCTTGCAAGAAAGGTCGAGGCCCCCAATCTAGATACGATGTTATAAAGAGAGGCGAACGTACTTTTCAGTAAGTTAGCAACACTTTGAATATAATTGAAAACAATTATTTTTCCCCCCCATTAATAATTGTAGTTGTGATGTCTGCGATCTCTGGTTCCTGCGAGCTGGAAACTTAACCCAACACAAGAATTCCGTTAACCATAGAGAAAATGAAAGACGGCAACAGCGTAAAGTCAGATCAAAAATAAAGAAATAAATACCCGAAAGATACGATTCTCATTTCACCAATGAGTTCAATGCATGGCCTACAAAAAGCGGGTAATTAAATAGTAAAACCAAGAATTTAATTTCCTTATTGTGCAATTTTCTGCAAAAATGCAATATCTTGATTTGGTTTTCAATCAAATTCTTCAGCAATCGTCTCATTAAAATGAAATTCAATATCTTCATCCGTGGCTCCCTGGGTACTGTTCTGCTGCGGTTGGCTAGCCTTTTTTTGATGAAATTTCGATCGAAAATGCGCAGTCAGATGGGTTCTTCGCTGAAAATTAACATCGCAAAAGTCGCAGCTAGAAATTGAATTAAAATTATGAAATGTTCAATACGACTTAAACATTAATAATACCGAAATGGGCGTTCGCCTGTGTGTATCAGCTCGTGGTTTTTTAAACAGGCTTTGGTTTTGAATCCCTTGGCACAAAACCTACATATATATTTATTTTTACTGGTCGTTAATGAAGTTTCTTGAATATGTGTCCGCCTATGGAAAATGCATTTAACAATACAAAAAGAACGCTAATATCAAATGGGGCAAAGATTCCTACCTTTCATGCCGACAGCGGCTAGTGCTTGACCCGAAGCGCTCACCGCAATACTTGCAGGCGTAGGGTAACTCCCCCTTATGTCGCACACGTATATGTGTTTTTAATAGATGCGCTGTATACTCCTTTTGACCGCACTCCTTACATTCAAATGCTTTAACCCCCGTGTGGCGAATCAAATGTATTTTTAGGTTGGCTTTATCGTTGAAATTTCTGCCACATTGATCACAAACATAGTTCCGCTGGCGCATCTTGCGTTTCATTTCTATCATCTCAGCCTCATTAAGCGACACCCACTTTATGTACTTTCTTTTCTTGACTGGTACTTCGGTTTTGTTATTAGATTGAACTGAGGGTCGGGGATTTTGGGCTTTTGGTGTGGGCGGTGATTTTATAAGAGAGCTCGAAGAAGATCTTGCGAAATCATCAATCTCTTTCAGAACTTGAGATTTTAGACTGCTGCTACGACTGGAGCATTCCTCATATTTGTGTTCAAACTCCGGAGAGCTGACGTTTTGTGTTTCATAATCTTTGAATGCAGAAAAATCCACAAAGTCTTTTAGATCGACCTTCTGATCGGTGATTTCGTCTTTCGCATCTACGTCAGGCTCTCCACTATTCAGCGGATCCATCTCATCTGTTGCTGGCGATGGTAACTCCTTGTCATTGTCATCATCAAAGACATTGTGTTTTCCACTCAACAGGAGCTCATGGGTTTTAATGCAACGCTCTCGGAATGTTATAGCGTGATTTAAATCTAATAAACAGTAGGCGCAAATGTGGTCTGGCATGTTTAACTCATCCGTCAACTGACAGGATTTGTGGAATCAAAACTTGTGTGTATACATTTTAACGGTAGCCATCGCACAATACTTACCCATATCCCAGTAAGTGCTTCAATCTTTATAAGAATCCCATTGTTCGCCTCGCTGAATAGGTTTTTCGCATTTAAATTATAAATGCGCTCACCGCATGTTCTGCACCGAACTGACATTCTTAATATACGGCGCCTCTCTAGTTTTTTTGGTTGCTTAAAACTTAAAAATTCCAAACATATCCTGATATGCAAACAGATTGTAGTCAATGTGTACCTACCTAATCGGCAAAAGTAAAACTCCCGCAAAAATACCAAATAAAAAAGCGATGTGCAACACTTGATCTGATTTTTGGGATGAAATTTCCATTTTAATGGGCAGCGTCGAACCGTTATAAAAGTGTATATTAAAAAAAACGATTTATTTAGTATAACACACATTCTTATGTGTTCTGAGAATTACACTTTACTATGACGGTTTATTTAAGATTCCAGCTCTTCTATAATTACATCATAAAACTCCATGTCTTCTTCGGTAATAATGTCATCTTCGTTAACATCTTCTAAAATACAATCGTCTTCGGAACCATCATATTTGGATGTATCATTCCGTTTATCGTAGGCCTCGCCAGCTTTTTTAAGATGCATTTTAGACCGGTTGTGAATTCTTAAATATTCACTTCTCTGAAAAGCTATATTGCAGATATCACATCTATAAAAGCAAAAGTCGTAGTCAATTAGCAATTTAAACTCATTTTAAAAACTCACCGGAAAGGCCGTTCGCCTGTGTGAAGGATCTGATGCTTTACCAAGCACGATTTGGATAAGAAACCTTTGCTACAAATTTCACACTCAAACGGCGGTTTACTCAGATGTGTCCTGAGAATTACATGTAATTACTAAATATAGGAATGAGTCTGTTGTATTTTGTACCTTTCATGTCGACAGCGACTAGGACTTGTGTAGAAACGTTGGTCACAATAATTGCATCCGTATGGCTTCTCCCCTTTGTGACGCACTCTTATATGCAATTTTAGTAAATGCAGTGTAAAATATTTGTTATCACATTCCTGGCATTGGAATTTTTTAATACCCGTGTGACGCACTAAATGTTGTTTTAAATTACTTTTATTATTGATACGCTTTCCACATTGGTCACACACGTAACCCTTGAACTCAGGGGTTTTAGTTGAATCGCTCTTTGTAATCTTCTCGGAGATACTTCTTTTGGCTGAATTTGTGGGTTTTTTAAAAGTTTTGTTTGAAAGGTTAATTTTTTCAAACTGTCCAGTTCCATTCTCAAATCGCCCAGTTGAGCTGATATTACCTAAATCTTTTGGCAATATTTTACTGATGCTAGACGCCTTGCAAATTTGAGTTGTTTCTGATTGATCTACTGCTCGAGGCTGTAGTGTTCTTTGTGCGGGCACATCAGTATGGTGTCGTTTATTACTAACAGGAATAGAGCATTTGGCATTTGCAAGTGCACGCTCCTCTTTAAGAATGTGCGCGAGCATAGGTGATATTCGTCGCTTCATGACACTGATATTTGCAGGCACAGGAGGTTGTATATTCGGTGACAATTGTATTTTAACATTAACTGCTCCATCTAGGTCTTCGGAATCTTCATAAATTTCAAAACTGTCCAACGGGTCTATATTACCCAACTCAACATTGTGTTCCTTCATAAAGTCTGCATATTTCCCTTGTTTTGCACTGAACAAAAGGCGATTTGTTTTTATACACCGTTCTCGAAATGATATCGCATGGTTTAAGTCCAACAGACAGCAGGCGCAAATATTTTCAGGCATACCTGGTTCGTCGCTTAACTGCAAGTATAAATTTATTAATATCTACAAAACTGGGCCCATAGATGGCATTACGCATCCTCCTTACCCAGATGCCAGTGATAGCTTCGATCTTGCGTAGAATTTCGTCCTCAACTTGATTAAACAGCGGCTTTGCATTCAGATTAACTATAATCTCGCCGCAAGTTCTGCAGCGAACCGACATTGTTGTTCACATTTATTGCGTTTTATTGCTATAATTTACCCTATTATTATCTTTAACTAGCACGTATCGTTTAGTGGAATCCACGCCAAGTTGTCTAAAAAAGTATGTGCACAGTTCACTAGCCTAAAATGTACATAAAAACACCACATTGAAAAATACCAAAAAAAAACCATATAAAACCACACAAATTGTATTGAAATAATGTTAAAAAATCTAAATAATGGGTTAGCATTTTAAATTGCTTTGAGACAGGTATTTTTTATATACTATTTTAATGAGAAGGGTTCTTATATGCATATACGTTTTTAAATGTTTTAAAACGTTTTCACAAAATTATTTATTTTTGAAATATTTGTATTAAGTTAGATATGTATATTACACAATAATTTTAATTTAGAGTACTAGCTACAGAGGCCTCAGACTCGCATTTTGAAAATCTTGTTCATATATAATGTACCCAAAGGTTAACACTATTAGGGTTTTTATTGTTATAATTTGTTTTTATGGGTTTGCGAACGTTCATGTTGCGTCAATTGATAGTTTCTCTGAAATGTCAAGTTGCACAGCTCGCATCTGAAAAAGCCCATAAGAAATATTCAAAGATAGATGTTTACAAACATACATACATATGTAAATTTAAAAAAAAAAAAACTTACTTATAAGGCCGCTCTCCTGTGTGCGCTCTTTGGTGTTCCGTGCGGTGAGACGTTTTGTTAAATCTTTTTTCACAGTACATACATTTGTAAGGATATTCCCGAGTATGAGTTCTAAAAAACAAACAAGACGTTTTTAAAACTACTATAAATAACGCTGAAAATGTAATTACCTCTCATGAGCAAGTCTTGAAGAATTGTCATTAAATTTTCTTTTGCAGTTTTCAAGTCTGCAAATAAACGGCCGCTCGCCATCATGTGCCGTGCGAATATGCATTTTGAGTAAATGGTTTGTGTAATATTTCCGCTCGCATAATTTGCATTCGAATGATTTGTTGCCTGTATGGCGGAGTAGGTGCAATTTAAAATTAGTTATGTCCCTGAAGTGTCGCCCACATTGGTCACAAATACGATCGACGTGACGTTTTTTCGGATCTCTTTTCGTTCGCGGCTTGTTCTTTGTTAAGTTTTCATTTGGTTTACTGCTTTCAGAAACATCTTCAGCCGATAAAACAGGACTGGGGTTGTTTATTTTATTTTCATCCTCCTCATCGTCTTTGTGTTCTGATGTGCTATGATTGATATTAATTTCCTCATCACTTGTCCCGGTAATATCAGCCTCAGCTTCATCAATAATAAATGTATTACTCGTATGTGTCTTAACCAAATCAAACAGTCGCACTTGCGTGCTGATGCATCGCTTCCGAAAAGCTACGGCTTGGTCCAAATCAAATTGGCAAGGCATACATATATGCTCCGGCATATTGGGAAGATCATCCAGCTAGAATTCAGAATTATTATTTACCCCCCAAAAGCAGTTGAATAACTTACCCACACACCTGTCAGTATTTCTATCTGGCGTAACATAACTTTGGCCTCATTCTCAAAAAGGTGCTTGGAACTGCCGCTGTAATTGATTTCACCGCATATTCGGCACATAGGTTTGAAAGCCATTTTCCAGACTCAACTTCACGCAGACTGCTTTGGTTTGGGAAAATTGAACGTTGATGTCGACCAATATTGAGAACTGATATTAGTCTTAATGCTTGTAAATGTGAATGGCAAAATCAGCTGTTCAATGATTTGGAATGAAAAAAACGCGCACACTCGATCACTTATTCAAAAGTAGTGTTTTTTTTACCTACTTCTAAGTTTTTAACTTTTTGCATAAATTTTCAATATGTAATATTGATTTCATTTAAAAGATGAAATTTTAATTCAACGATTTTGTCTCTGAAAATTGGCAAATCTGCTTTCGTCATTGCCATATATTCCTTACCAACAGGTAACACTCACGCACATGCATTTTGTTTAATTATATACATACATAGTTTTATCATTTTTTATATTTATTTTTCATTTGTCAACTAATATACATTTGTAAATGTAAACTTTGCAGGGCATTGCATTTGAAGGATCGTTTTCATAATTTTCGAGCACAGCGTATAAACAGTAATATGGTATGTGCTACATTGAGCTTTGTAATTAGATTTGGTATTTATGTATATACATATGTATGTATGTACTAAACTTACAAAGGTTATGAACCTGATGGATTCTCCTTTACATTATTTTTGTGCTTCTTGGTTTGTCGATGTTGGCATAATTGGCAGCTGCGTGCAAATGCTACGTCGCACAGATCGCACCTATGTATGTATTTCGAAAAATGTGTTGCTAATAAAGAACTTAAATTTGCAACATACTTATATACATACACATAAGTATGTACATACATATTTAGATAACTTACCTAAATGGCAGCTCCCCGGTGTGCACTCTGAGGTGCTCTCGCAGCTTGCATCCCGTACAAAACCTTTTGTCGCATATGTCACATACATATCGATAATCCCGTATATGTCTCCTGGGGAAAAAATACTTTAACCTTTCCTTATGGGGTCTACATTACCTCCGTCACTCACCTCTCATGAATTCCTCTTATTGTGGAATTTTTAAATTTCTTACCGCAGTTTTCATAGCGGCATGGGTAAGGATTCATGTTTTCGTGAAAGGTACGAATATGTCGCTGTAGAAAGCAGTTTGTGTAAAATTTCCGTTCACACAAATTGCAAGGAAATGGCTGAATTCCGCTGTGTCGAAGTAAGTGTAATTTAAGATTTGTTATATCCGTAAATTGCTGTCCACATTGCTCACAAAGAAGGTCGAACATGTATCGTTGCTGGGAACCGTTTTTTTTTCTCTTTTTTTTAAGTATACAACCTGTATTACATTTATTGTTCGCTTTTTGTTTGCTTCTTTTATGAATTTGTCTTGGTTTCTTTTTTATAGTATTTTCCTTTAATTGCGCGTCGGGGGCCTTACTTGTTTTATCATAATTGATTAAGAGATCCGATTTCTTGTCGTTAAAAAAGAAGTTGGTGAGCACAGAACTGTCTGCTAAAGCATCATGGTTGTCATGACTTTTTTTGGTTTCACCATCATTAAGGCTGTCAAGTAGAGAGTTTTCGGTTGCTGAAGGATACTCGACGTCGCTATTTGCTTCTCTGTCTGAGTTCGGAACTATGTAATTTACGTCCTCCTCTGCCGGCGTCTGTTTGGCGTTGCCTTCAAGACTGCCCGAAGGGTCTGTATTTTTACCTTCCACACTGGCCCTATCTGTATCAACATCCTTCAGCATACTCTGTAATGATTCAGTGGACAGCCGCTCATGTGTGTTTATGCATCTATCTCGAAAGTCAATAGCTTCGCCCAAATCAAATTCACATAAGAGGCATATGTGCTCTGGCATGTTGTCAAAAAAATCCAGCTGAATGAAGATTTTAATAACTTCTATGTAGGAAATATGTATAACTCATCTTACTCGTAAGCCGGTTATTTTTTCAATTTGGTTAATAATCTCGCTGCAGTCTTCATCTCCATAGAGGTGCTTAGCTTCCCCGCTGTAATTGCGTTCCCCGCAAAGTCTACACATCGGCTTGGAAGTCATTGTCGTTGATATTATCAATTATTTTCGATGTACCATTGCCAATAAAGCTTTGTTTTTTTGTAATATTAATATTTTGCTCATTTACTCTTGCAAATCCTTTAACTTTTACTCATTTTCCAGATAAGACCGACTCCACAGCCAACGTCTACATGTGAATGGCAAACTTGTTTTACCAAACAAAAAAACAGCTGACTGGCTTTCCTTCAGTTTTATTTTGTTTCTCTTTTGATCAAGACAAGAAAAAATTAAATACTCGACAAGAATAATAGACAGTGCCCATATGATGCAGTTCAAATTTAATATTATATACATACATATATTGTTATATTTTTGCGACTTTACTAATTCATGTATGTATGAACGTATGTTGCTTTAGTATGGTGGACTTAGCCGGCTCGAGGTCCTGATTGGAATTTTCCATAAATTCGTATTCGCATTAATATTATATTATTTTTAGATTTCCTAATTGTTAGCTTGTTCTGGATGCCTACTTTGGTGGGCATTGCACTGCGCTACCTTGTTAAAGCCCTTATTGCAGTACAAACAACGAAAAGGATAAAGTTGTGAATGCGTTCTAAAAATAAAGCTCAGGTTAGGCAAATTACAAAGACGAATAACATAAAAAGTAATAGTCACCTTTCATGACAACGTCTCGTAGAGGTGTCGTTGAATTTCTTAGCGCAGTTTTCATATCGACAAGGAAAAGGTCTCTCGCCCGCGTGAGCAATTCTTATGTGTAATTGAAGCATATAATTTGTGTAGCATTTTCGATCACATAGATTACATGGGAATCGCTTGTCTCCAGCCATACGTAGTATGTGGATTTTATAATTATATGCACTATTAAAAGTTTGCCCACAATGATCACAATCACGCCTATACTGTCGTCTCGGGGGTACTGCCTCTGGATTATGTGTACGTTGATGCTCTTTCAGTGTGTTTTTCTGCTTAAATTTTTGCTCACACAAATGGCACCTTTTGAATACAGATACATTAATTTAGATATATGTATGTAGGTTTCAAATAGATGAACATTGAAGCATACTTGTATGGCCGCTCCCCCGTATGCACTCTTTGGTGGGCTGTTAGAGATGATTTTTTGTTAAATTTTTTAAAACAATAATGACATTTGTACGGATAATCACAAGTATGCGTTCTTGAAAAGAAAAAAAAGGTTATTTTTATGGTTTATTTTTTTTTTAGAGTAAGTACAACTGAATATCTATTCACCTTTCATGAACAAGTCTTGTAGACACTGCTTTAAACTTCCTATCACAGTTTTCGTATCGGCAAACAAATGGTCTTTCGCCCTTATGAACTGTGAGTATGTGTAACTGGAGCATATGATTTTGGTAAAATTTAGTGTCACATAAATTGCATGCGAATTGTTTGTTTCCGGTGTGTCGAAGCATATGGAATTTAAACCCCTGCGAATCCTTAAAATGCTTGCCACATTGATCACAAATCCAAACTGCGCGTCGAATTCGGCTTGTATCATGATTTTGATTTGTACAGGCATTTTCGGTTGAGGGCCTATTATGTTCATCATTACTTTTACATTCTGTAAAGCTTGACAATTGGGCGTTGTCAATCGGATTTAAAGTAGCATTCTTTTTATTTAGATGTTCCAGGGACTTTATATGCCTCTTTAAATGTTGGCTCCATTTATACGACACTTCGCAAATGTCACATCTTGGAGTTAGAAAATATAGATATGTATGTATGTATAAATTGAAAAAAGGTTATAAAGTTGTTTTTGGCTTAACCCACTTGAATGGTCGCTCTCCAGTATGAACTCTGTAGTGCTCCCTGCAGTTTGATGATTTATCAAATCTCTTGTCACAGTACTTACACTTGTACCGAAGCTCTCCCTTATGAGTTCTGAAACCGTTGCTGTATATAATAACTGACATAAAAAATTCATTTCATAGTTACCTCTCGTGGAAAACCCTTGATAAATTCGATTTGAATTCAATATTACAGTCTTCGTTTCCACAAATAAACTTCGACAATGACGCTGTCAATAATAACTCATTGTTATCTTCTGCCTTCGAGCTGCATTCCTGGCTCTCCATGTCTGCTTCTTGTGGCTTTGGTTCACTTGTACATTTGTCTTCTCTTTTAGTGTAATCTGCGCGAAACTCCATTATCCTTTTATGTTCGGTATTCTCATAGTTTTTGTTGCATTTTACGGTATTTTCAGAACTAAAGCTCTTATTATTTTGATGTTCCAGGGAGTTTATATGCCTCTGTAAACTTTGTTTCCATTTAAAAGACACATCGCAAATTTCGCATCTGCAATTTTAAATATACATTCAGGTATATTCATTATATATAAAAATGTATTAAGTTGCATTTAACCCACATGAATGGTCGCTCTCCAGTATGTACTCTTTCGTGCGCTCTGCAATTTGAAGGCTTAGTAAATCTCTTCCCACAGTACTTACAATTGTACCGAATTCCGCCTTCTTCAGCTCTGAAATTATGATTGGGATAATAGAATCGTGGCATGTTAAGTGTAAATACATTTTAATAGTAACCTTTCCAGAACAGCCCCTTCCAGTAGAGAAATGGCAGAATTGCTTTCATGCACGTTGTCAGTGGGATCAAGAGTAGCGGCGTTAATGTCTTCATGTTCTTCAAAGCATCGGTTATTTTCGACTGATTGTTGATCTACTTTTGAAACTGTTTTACAAGTATTCTCTTCCTTTCCCGTGCTGAATTCCAATAACTTCTGAAGACTAGTAGACTTCTCTTCTCCTTCAGTATCATGTATGCAAACCTCTTTATGTTCCGTGTTTTTATGGTTTCTTTTGCATTTTGTTTCGTCATCTCTAAAGCCTTCATTATTTTGGTGTCCCAGGGAGTTTATATGCCTTTTTAAGCTCTGTTTCCATTTAAATGATACATCGCAATTTTCACATCTAAAATTATGTTTATAACATATATATGTTTAAATCTATAAAAATGTATTAAATTGCAACTTTAACCCACTGGAATGGTCGCTCTCCTGTATGCACTCTCTCGTGTGCCCTGCAGTTTGATGGTTTGCTAAATCTCTTGTCGCAATACTTACACTTGTACCGATTCTTCCCCATCTGAGCTCTGAAAGTAAGACGGGAATAATAAAAACGCGACACATTTGATGAAAATGAATATTGATAATTGCCTCTCGCACATAACATTTTCGAAATCAGCACTGGCTTCATTGCTTTGTTCTTCATCTAAATTATATTGTTGATCGTTTTTTACTGGAGCTTTAACAATTTCGCAGGCGGTGGCGATTGGATCTACTGCAGCGAGATTATTGGTTTCATCGTTCTGTGTTTGATCTGTTTTTAAAAATATTTCAAAGGCGTTGTCAAACCGATTTGAATTATTGACATCATTGTATTCAATTGGTGGGTTTGCGCAAAATTTATTACGGTTGTTTGTAGAAGTGTTTTGATTATTTATTAATATGGAGTTTCCCGCAGCCATTTTATTTTGATGGCCTTCAGAATCTATGTGTCCTTTTAAATATCGGGCCTGCTCAAAAGACATGTTACACAATTTGCACCTATAAAATTAAACATATAATATTTTTAATGAACTAGTTATAAATGCATACTTGTATTGGCGCTCTCCTGCATGGGCTCTATGATGCTTCGCACGGATTATTGTACTCTTAAATTGTTTTTCACAGTACAGACATTTGTATGGATAAACGGGCCTACAGGAGGAACTTAATTTGTTGAACATTATAAGACTATGTTTATGAAGAGTAATAGCAACCTATTTTGATGTTTTGAGGACTTTGCTTCCAACTGCTTATTCGGTGTCACGCAATTTTCCTCAGGAACATCTTTTTGGTCTAATACTATGACACAACTTTTATCAATCAATGGTTGAGAAATCGTACCATTGTTTTCATGTTCCTCCTCAATAGAGTTTGAGTGATAATTAAGGTCTGTTTTATCAAAAATTGATAAAATGGTTAAATTTTCTTCGCTATTTTTTCCACTTTGAATATTTATAGAGGAAAATATTTCATGCGTGCGTATGCATCGTTCCCGAAAGGAAATCGCTTGATCCAAATGATATTCACAGGTCATACATATATGCCCTGGCATATTAGGCAAATCATCCAACTGAAACATGTAATTTAATTAAAACCCTGTGTATGCATCCACATCTTTGACACATACCCCGAGACCAGTTATTATTTTTATGTAGTTCAAAATTTCATTGCCAGCTTCATTTTTAAATAGGGGCTTGGCCTTTCCTTTGTATTTGCATCCACCGCACGTTCTACATGAAGGCTTGGAAGCCATTTTTAATGATAATATCTATTATTACATGTCCCCGATAAGGTAAATATTTTGTATTTGTACGGTGCTCAGTTATTCTAAGTTTAAGTCGATGCGGAGTGCTCTGTGAATGGCAACAATTTGGCGCTGCCAACTTAGTCCCACAATGCAAATAACTGCAGAATATAAGCACAATGTTTATAAAATATAGCGTTATATTTAAATTTAAGTGTGTTTGGTGCGCTGTATATTAAAGGATCGATCAGCTATAAGAATAATGCAGTGTTTGAAAAGTATGTGTTAGGTGTAAGAAATTTTCGACGTCCCTTTAAATATAACAGAAAATCAAGGCATCAAAGCATTTCGAATGCTCTTAGCCAACTGCCACTACCAGCTGCTCCTACAAAGTACAGATCAGATCCATACACCAGAGCTAAACTTATAGAGCTCGGCAGGGTCTACCTTGCCATTTATTTAATGTTTCGTTTGATTCACTTAGTGCTATTCATTTTTTTTTAAAGTAATCTTATGCCTCTTCGCGGTGCGTACTTTGGTGCTTAGCACAATGCGTAGCTCTGTTAAATCCCTTGTTACAGTATATACAGCGGTAAGGATATTGTTGTGAATGTATTCTGAAAAGGGTAAGAATATTTTTAATTAAATATACGAACAACTAAAACATGAGTATACCTCTCATGACAACGTCTCGTAGAGGTGTCATTAAACTTTTTACCACAGTTTTCGTAGCGGCACGGAAAAGGACTCTCCCCCTCGTGTGTCGTACGTATGTGCATTTGGAGATAGCGATTTGCATAAAATTTTCGATCACATAACTTGCATGGAAATGGCTTCTCCCCGCTTAGTCGAAGTACATGCATTTTATAATTATCTTGATTAGTAAATGTTTGCCCACAATGATCACAAACACGACTAAAATTTCGTTTTTTTGGCACAAATCCTGGGACGTGCGTAAGTTTATGCTCTTTATATGAGCCGCGATGTCTAAAAGTCTTTACACACATATCGCATCTGGAAAATTTAAAATAAAAAATGGCTCATAAAACAAAACTAAATTTTATATTATTTGACCTTCAAACTTACTTGAATGGACGTTCTCCTGTATGTACTCTTTGGTGATCATTGAGGGATGACTTCTTTATAAATGTTTTATCACACAGCAGACATTTGTAAGATGGTCTCTGAATATGAGTTCTGAAATAAATAAACTTTTATTATAAGGATACAAACATTACCGAAAATTCCAAATAGAAGTTACTTTTCATGATTTGATCTCGTAGTATAACTGGTAAATTGTCTATTGCAGTTTTCAATTCTGCAGACAAACGGCCTCTCTCCTTCATGAGCCGTTCGTATGTGCAATTGGAGCATGTGATTTTTGTAAAATCTACGCTCACATAAATTGCATGGGAATCGTTTGTCACCGGCATGTCGGAGCTGATGAATCTTGAAGGTATTTGGATCGGTGAAGTGTTTTCCACACTGCTCACAAATACTATCAACAATCCTTCTCTTCTTTTTTCTGGTTGGTTTTGGAGTTTTCTTCTTATTACTTTCGCTGATGTTGCTGATCGATGCCTGAAGAACCGGAGTATTCCCATCTTCATCATCCTCTGAACTGGATGGTTTGTAATCAGTGTCATCCTGTTCAGTTGTATGTGGACTTATACTTCTTTCTTCATGGATTTCTAATGCATTATTTTTCAATGTTGTTTCCTTCGGCGCATCAATGGAGCCTTCATGTATATCAACGGGTTGATCTTCATTGTCCATAGAAACCGGTGATTTACATTCAGCATTCAATATGTGAGGACTTGTACTTCTTTCTTGATGGTTTTCCGTATAACTTTGACTATCATTACTCAATCTAGTCTCATATGTCGATATGTCCCTTTTTTTATTATTATGCTCCATCGATTGCTGATGGCTTTTTAAATGATGGCTTGATTTGAACGCTACGTCACACAATTCGCACCTAAAAAAATAAAAAATGATTTATTTATAATAGGTTTACTATTAGTCCTAATTCAAACCTACTTGTATGGTCGCTCTCCTGTATGCACTCTATGGTGCGCCGCACGGTTGGAACATGAATGGAACCTCTTCTCACAATACTGACATTTGTATGGCGGTGTTCGCAAATGTCGAAGAACGTGCTGTCTATAGTTTGAGCGGCCCTTAAAATGTTTTCCACATTGATCGCAGAAATGGTCGTTATATTTGCGAGATGATTCTTCATCTTCAATGTTATCTGCACTCATGCTGATTTTCTTCTGATGCTCCAACGATTGTTTATGTGCCCGCAAGTGGTGATTCAATTTAAATGAGACGTCACACAAATCGCACCTTAATTAAGTAAAAAGTAAAATTATTCATCTAAAAAGTTTCTAGTAATAAACCCACTTGAATGGCCGTTCCCCTGAATGCACTCTATGGTGCTTATTCCGGTTCGATGATGTGTTAAATCTTCTTTCACAGTGGAAACATTTGTACAACAGTTCATCATACAGTTTTTCTGGCATTTGTGACGTTACGCAGTTTTCTTCGATGTTGTTCAATACTTCTTCTTTTCTTTTATCTAAATTATGATTATCTTTAGTAAAAGCCCTTTTGTTTTTGCATGATTGTTGGTGTCTTTTTAGATGATGGTTATATTTAAATGAGACGTCGCACCAGTCGCACCTTTAAACCCAATGAAGTAATATAAATTAATAGGGATTTTGAATAAATTGCCAATGCAACTCACTTGTAGGGCCGCTCCACGGTATGCACAATTTCGTGTCTCTTTTGCTGTGATATATTGATAAATTTCTTTTCGCAATATTGACACTTGTAAGAACATTCTCCACTATGTGATCTAAAAGAAATAGTTGGATTATAAATAAGCATACAGAATATTATTAAAATCACTGCTGATAATTGCCTCTCATAAAGAGCCCTTGATGAAGTAGATTCAGCGCCCTCATGAGTCGTACGGATGTGCAACTGGAGCAAATGGCTTTTGTAAAACCTATTCTCGCAATATTCACAGGCGAACCGCTTTTCGCAGGAATGCCGTATGAGGTGAATTTTTAGACTTTTGGAGCTAGAAAAATGTTTGTCACATTTATTGCAAGTATTACTAACTGGTTTGCGGTTTGTTATAGCCCTTTTACAGGTGTCAGTAATCGAATTGTTTTCATCGTCCTCAGAGCTGGATAAGTGATTGATCTGGTTTGATATGGGATTCGTTATTGTAGAATTTTCACAGATGTCGTCAATGGGATCGACCGTGGCGGTGGCACGGTTTCCATCGTCCTCAATGCTGGATAGTTGATTTTTTGGGACTACCTTGCAATCTGTTACTATAACACTGTCAAAGGTGTCCTCAATCGAATCGAGAGAAGCGTTATCGTTCTTTTCATCTTTGTCCGAATCAACAGATAGATTCTTTGCTCCATGAGGGCTTTCACAGTCACCTTCTGGGTTGGTTATAGACTCAATTTTCACGACATTTAATGATGATGCATTACTTGCAGAAGTATCTATTCTATTTTTATGTTCTAAAGACTCCTTATGTCTCTTTAAATGATGATTAAATTTGAATGCGACGTAGCAAACTTCACACCTTAAACATTAAAATAAAATTTAAAAATTTAAATTATAGTTTACAATTAGCTAAATGTGGGACTTACTTATACGGTCGCTCTCCTGTATGGACTCTATGGTGTACCGCACGGTTCGATGAGGAGTAAAACCTTTTTTCACAGTACATACATTTATAAGGATATTTACGCATATGTTTAAGAAGATGTGTTTTAAAGTTAAAGGTGTGATGAAAATCCTTTCCACAAAATTTACAAACATGATGAACTTGCTTTTTGTTTTTATTTTGTAAAAAATGTTCGTCCAGAATAAAGTGCTCCTCCAGCTTCTGTGAAGTTGAAATATTTTCCCAATCGTTCCCATTTTTTTTTAATTCGGTATCATTTACAGCAAAGATATCACTGTTGGATGTGGCATTATCTATCGGGAATTCCTGGTGCGTGATGCATGTCTCTTGAAGAGCATCCTCTTCATTTAATTCCTTCTCAAGGCTTTCATCAACCTTTGAATCAGAGGTGGCATTGCTTTCGTCCTCCTCTTCAAAATATGAACGATAATCAACATCTACCTTTTCTGGAATAAATAAAATTTTGAAACTTTCTTCGTGTTTATTGGTATTGTTTCGTCCTTCAGTGTCAGCTCCAATATTTGTATTTATGGGGTCCTCAGCTATAGTGGACAATCTTTCATGTGTGCTTATGCATCGTTTCCTAAAGGAAATTGCTTGATCTAAATCAAATTCGCAGGTCATACATATATGGCCTGGCAAATCAGGCAAATTATTCAGCTGAAATATGGAATTAGTAAAGTAACTTCCCAAATATCCATATATATGACAGAAGCGTTAAGACTTACCCTGAGACCAGTTATTGTTTCTATGTGGTCTACAATTTCATTGCATCTTTCACTTTGAAATAGAGGCTTGGCTTTTCCTTTATACTTGCATCCACCGCACGTTCTACACGTAGGCTTGGAAGCCATTTTAAAGCTAATATCTGTTATTACCGGTGGCTAGTACATTTCCCAGTTAAGGTAGATTTTTTGTTTATGTCGGTCCTGTTTTTTCCACATCCAAATTAGTCGCTGCGTTTTCAGTGAATGGCCAATGGGCCTGCTAACTCCTCCAACTAAAATGTTTCGATGCTGCCAGAAATTAAAGAGATGAATAGGGCCGAGCTTGGCGGCAAATCTAAATCAGTAGAAAAACTTAAAAAAGAAATCAAACGGTATGGTTTTAGAAAGATGAGTTTTTTGTTTGAATTTATTAAATTTCAGGTCTCTTCAGTTTTCATTTTATCCTCACACTATGTTTTTTTCAAAGCAAGGAAGTGAGCTTATGTCTTATCCCAAATATTTAATTGGATATAATATATTTTATATCTTTCATACAAGAGGAGCTTTGCTATGTTTCCTATTTGTTTTATTTCAACAATGAACACAAAATCGTATAGTCTCCAATAAATATTGTAAATACATTTTCAAGAATTTTAAGTGTTCTAAAATATTTCCAGCAATGTAGAAGGCGTGTATCAAAAACTTCCCAAATTATCTACTGCACGCATAGTTTGGCAATTATTAGCGTTAAATGAAAATACAAATATTTTGGAAGTGATTTAATGTTCAATTTATTGGTATTTATTAAATTCACGTTAGTTTTAAAACAAAAATGCCTACACAATCTGGGTTGTAAGATTGAACAACCTACGTTAATGGTATTTCTCCAGTATGTGTACTTTGGTGATCTGTGCACTGTTTTGATTTGTTAAATCCCTTGTTACAGTACAAGCAACGGTAGGGATATTGTTGTGAATGTATTCTGCAAGTGAAAATTATTTTGACTAAGACAATTATTTCAAGTATGGCATGCCGTACCTCTCGTGACAACGTCTTGTAGAAGCATCATTGAATTTTTTACCACAGTTCTCGTACCGACAAGGGTAAGGACTTATGCCCTCATGCACCGTCCGAATGTGCATTTGCAGATAATAATTTGCATAGAATTTTCGTTCACATAAATTGCATGAGAACGGCTTTTCTCCGGTATGTCGGAGGACGTGCATTTTATAATTATGCGCGCTCCTAAAAGCATGTCCACAGTAGTCGCAAACGCGATGGTAGTTTCTTTTCTTCGGTTCTGCTTTTGGCTTGGATTTCGACTTTTTTGAACTTGAATTGGGTTGACCAGCACCCTCTGTGTTATTTTCGCTCGTAGGTTCGTTATTTGTTCCTGCCTCACCTATAATATTTATATAATATTAATACAATATACCCAACAAAATTTATTGTCAAAATCAAAGGCAATACCCTCTAGATTGTCCATTTGTACATCATCTTGACCTTCCGCATCTTCTTTAGCCTTTTTTTGATGAGCCTGGGAGCGGAAATGTATTCTTAAATTTGTATTCCGAGGAAAACCTACGTCACAAATTTCACATCTATTTAATAAAAGATTTGTTAGATATACGAAACTTATAACACATGTATTTCATATTCAAAACATACCGATAAGGTCGCTGTCCTGAGTGTATAAACTCGTGCTTGTTCACACAAGATTTAGTCAAGAATGCTTTACCGCAGTATTTACATACGAAGGGCCGTTTGTTTTGATGTATTCTGTAATATAAGAAATTTTGAAATTCCAAATAAGAAGTAATGGACTAGCGCTACCTTTCATGCCGACACCGACTGGTGCTTGTGTAGAAACGTTGGTCACAAAATTTACAGGCGTATGGCATTTCGCCCTTATGTCGCACTCTTATATGTAGGTTTAATAGGTGATGGGTAAAATATTTATTCCCGCATTGCTCGCACTCGAAATTTTTAACGCCGGTGTGCCGTAGTAAATGGACTTTGAGGTTGCTTCCATCACTAAATGTTCTTCCACATTGGTCACAGACGTAGCTTCTGAGTGGTGTATCATCATTTATGGACGGCGGTTTTGCTATATTTAATGGTTTTATTGTTTTTTGACCATTCTGTTTGTGACCAGAATTTGATGTTCGTGATTTATTTACAGGCCGCGTCTTTTGAGAAAGGTGTGAAGAGATGGTTGTTGTTACTGGTGCGGGCTGAGGTCGTGCAATTCTGGATGAGGTTGATACGGAAGTACCCGGCTGCGGACGAGCTAGCACTATAGCATTTCTTGTGTGGGCGCGCACAATTGAATTTTTCGAAGCAATGCTACTACTTAATGGCTGTTGAATCGACTTTTTTGTGGAGCTCGAATCTGACGGAATTGGTGGAGCCGTGTGCTTATCTGATAAACTAGACTCTATAGCTTTATATAAATCGGAATTATCGGAATCATCTTCACTCAAAGAATCACTTAAAACTTCACCCTGGACAAATCCATCCGAGTTCTCAATACCGTCCAAATCATCTGATATTCCATCTTCCTGTCCCAATGTTTCTGAGACTTCATCCTTTCCGAATGTATCCAAATCCGGACTATTTAACGGATCGATCTCGTCCAAACAATCCAATAAGGTCTGGCGCCCATCAGCCGGAGCGATCCTTTTTTTCCACTTCAGCAAAAGAAGGTGTGTTTTTATGCACCGTTCTCGGAATGCAATGGCATGATCTAAGTCCATAAGGCAACAAGCGCAAATATGCTCTGGCATTCCGGACTCTTGAATTATCTGTAAATTATTATGGGTATATGTCACTGTTATGTTACTGTCTCAAAGAACCTCTTACCAAAATTCCAGTCAAAGCTTTAATCTTGTTGAGGACAGGATTCGATTGACTTTTAAAGAGATGCCCTGCCTTCATATTATAAATTCGTTCTCCACATGTTCTACATCGAATAGACATGGACATATTGCTAGTACTGATTGATCCTTATTTTACTTTTTGCTACGACTTTTAGTTACTTTTCTTTTTTTACTTATACAAATTTGTCTTAAAAGAACGCATATTTGTCCATTGAGGAATAAATTAGGGTGGGAGCGCATGCAATAAATAAATGCACACAAAAATACCAAATGTTGTATCGATATTTGCGCTGTTTCATCTGAGCGCGTAATTTTCAAGAAATACAAGCATTGGCGTTAGGTTTGAGGAGGTGCGCTGTGTAATAGATACCTAGGCAGAATAATATAAACTACAAGCACTAACCATACAACACAACCATGTAGTATGGTTAGTGCTACAAGTGTATAATAAGCTGTCATCCAGTATACACAAATATCCTTAAGAATAGATTAAGACAGACTGTTCATAAAATACCAAAATCAGCTGTAGTCGTTGCTTCTTGCTAAATGAGAATTCACCATGAATGTATTACTTTTTTATCTGTTTAAGAATGAGGAAATCATAACAAATCTCAAAATGTACGCCTATCAACTGCGGGCCCTTTGCCGGACTTGTGGAGTTAAAATAGACGAGAATGACATAAATTTGGCAACCCAACTCTTTGAGGAGTCTAATCAGTCATTTATCTCATTGATCGAGAATATTACAGATATATGGGTAAGAAACAAAATGCGAATGCAACGCAATTTACTTAATTTGTATCCAATAGATAGAATATGACAACAATCTTCCCGAGCTTATATGCGAGAGCTGTAAGGCCGTGCTGGATAAAATCACGGAATGGAGCGAAAGATGCGTCAACACGCATACGAAACTACAGGAAGCCAAGCAGAATCTAATAAAAAACTCAGTGGATAAAATTTTGCCTTTTGAAGAAACGGAATCAGTAGACTTCAAGGAGTTTGTCGATGTCGATGATAATTTACAGTACGAAGAGGAGACCCCAGAGCCCCAGTCATCACAGGTGAAAGTTAAGAAGAAAAATGCTAGGAAAAAATATCCGAAACATTTAAAAAAAACTTGGATTTGCGAACAATGCGGAGGTGAATTCAAATGCTCGACATACCTAAAATTGCATCTCCTGCGACACACTGGCAAAAAAGAAGTGGAATGCGATATTTGCCAGGCGAAGTATTATACTCAGAATGAGATGCTACGACACAGGATACTGCACACGGATGCACGTCCCTATTCCTGCAAGTATTGTGATAAAACGTTCCGTGGGTGCAGCAGCAGAGCAGTTCACGAACGGTGGGTGACTGTATTATTTTGGTTGTGCAGTTTCGTGTTTATTTATGAAACTATCATTATAGAATCCACACCAACGAACGTCCATTTGCCTGCAGCTATTGCGAGAAACGTTTTACATCGACTTCGACGAGACGAAGTCATGAGCTAGTTCACACCGATAAACGCCAATACCAGTAAGTTGTAGTAAATACCCAGCTACATAACTAACTATAACTAATTTTTCTTCAGCTGTCAAACGTGTGATCAGTGGTTTCTGCGATCGGCGCATTTGGAAATGCATCAGCGTTCAAAACAGCACAAAAAGAAATCTCAAAATGCCATTGATTAAAAGTCTGACGTCTTTTAGTGGGTTTTAAATACAGGGGCTTCAGTTACCAATACACCCTTTTAATTCTATACATAAAATACATACCTACTTACTTGTATGTATGTAAATGTCAATTGCATCTTTTTTTACCATCAACAAATATATTGGTGTAAATTGGATAGTAAATGCATTAACAAAAATTATTTTATTGCGGGGCATACAAATAAATGATTAATATAATTTATATTTGGGAATACAAAATTAATGTCGTTTAAATATTAGCGATGCTTTCGCGATACATCGCGAAAAAAGCTGTGAATCGATGTATCGACGTTTGTCCATCCCTAGTACAATGTTCGCTGAAATTGCAAAGTTGTTTACGAAATATGTCCAGTTTGTGCAGATTATGCCGTCAAAATCTGGAAGTCGAGGCAGCTCTGAATCTATTCGAGCCAGCTAACGCAAAACTTCTAATTGAAATAGAATTGCTAACAAGGTTGACGCTGACGTACGATAAATACTTGCCTAAATACATATGCGTGAGCTGCAGGCAAGATTTACAGACTGCTACAGATTTCCGAAGGGTTTGCTTAGAGACGCAGGACTATTTTGATCAGAACCCACACGTGAATAACAAAGTCAAATATCAAGTAAACATCAAAAAAGAAGAAAAGTTAATTTATAGTGAAGACGATGGCGATGCTGATGCTCAATCACAGTGTTCTAGTGAGGACTTCTTGCGGAGTGACGAAGAAGCCTTTGTCGAAGATGTCGAAGAGGAGCCTATAAATAGAGATTCATTATCCGAAACCGATGACGATGACGAGCAATCAGCGGTAGGAAACGACGAAATTGTAGCTTGGCAATATATGTGTAACGAGTGTGGGCAAAATTTTCCCACCAAGGAGAAAGTAAATGGCCATCTTGCAAAGGCTCACCGGATTTACAACTACGAGTGCGAAGAGTGTGGTCTAACATTTGGAAGTAATTTCAAGTTGAAATCCCACAACCGTGAGCTCCACGACGTGCAACAGAAGTAAGTTTCTTAAATAGGCTCAAATTGGTTGAATATCTTGTTTTTTTTTTATACTTCCGCCTTCTTTCGAGAATAAAATATTTATAACTTTTATTTTAGATATATTTGTGATCATTGCGGAAAAAATTTCAAGTTCACGGGTCCATTGAATGCACACTTGAAGAGCATTGGTGCGCCTTTTAAATACCAATGCACATATTGTGACGAGAAATTTTATATTCAGGACATGCTTACCTATCACTGCCGCAGATTTCACAAAGACAAGCAAACCCAGGAGAGGCACATCTGTCATGTGTGTGGGGCGGAGTTAGCAACGTCTTATAATCTGTCGGTTCATTTAAAACGTCACACAGGCGATAAGTCACATAAATGCCAGCAATGTCCCTATTCCTGTAGGACGGCGGCGGCCTTGAGATGTCATCAGCGTATCCACGACGATGTGTATCCGTATTCATGTCGGTATTCATGTGGCAAGCTATTTCGGAATTGCAGCACTCGCAGCGCCCACGAAAGGTGAATTTTGCAAAACCTTTTATTTTATTTTCTTTTACAGAATCAGCTTCATGAGAAAAAATAATTCATTTTAATATTTGCTCTTTTTCAGAGTTCATATGGGGACGGGACTGCGCCCATACAAATGCGATTATTGTACTCAGCGCTTTGTTACCAAATTTGACTGCAAATACCATCAAAGAATACATACGATGAACCGCAATTATAGGTAACACCCTTCTTAAATTTAAATCAACTGTTTTTAAATGTACACATTTTTATTTTAGCTGCGATATTTGTGATCAACATTTTAAATTAAAAAAACATCTCAACACACATCTTTTGACCAAAAGGCACAAAAAGCAAGAGAGCGAAGTCAAAGAGAACGAAATCAAATAGAACTAAAAATAATACTCGTAATTTGAAATAAATGTTTCCTTAGGCATTTTATTTGGTGAATTGCTTTTCCTTTTCATCGTATTTATATGCTAGCGGGTGAAAAGTATGCATGATATGTTCTTTTAATCAGTTTGAATGGGTCAGATTTTGTGGGCATTCTTCAGTTTCAGTAAACCTTAATATCGGCAACTATCTTCTCATTGTCGTAGATCTCCTTGGCGTAGCACAAGTTGGGGTAGTCGAAGGCGGCGCCATAGCGATTCTTGCAGCCACTGGTTGCCTTCTCGCCGGGAGTGTACACGGGTTGGCCGATAATGTTAGTTGTGGCAAAGTTGCAAGTCAACACGAAGTGGTTATAGAAGTCGCGAGAGAATCGAACAGCGGCGCAGCCCACATGGGTGTTCTTCTCGGCCACGGCAATGGTGAATTTGGCTACCTTTTTATTGGGCAGTTCCTCTGGGAAGTTGGACAAGATTTCAGGCGAGGCGTTGGACCGTTCGGCGAACCAGTTTTCAATTTGTTCCTTAATGATCTCGGCATCGGTGTATTCGGATTCCGCGCCACTGTAGCTGAAGATAGCATTATTCTGTCCCGCGTACGCGAAGCGCTCGGTGCTGCGGCACTTGTCAGGTATGGAGAGGCAGGTCTTCACATTGTAGAGAGCCAAGTGGGAGAGTTCCTCACACCAGGACATTTTGGCCATGCGAACGGCTTTAGGTAAGCCTTCAACGTTGCCGCCGGCCACATTGTTGCGTAATTCGTTGAAAAGAGTCAGGATAAGCTTATGCTGGGGATCCATTTTTATCTCTCGCACATCTTTAGGACAATCGGTACTATAGTTCTGCAATGAAAGGAAAATATTATTGGCTTATTCATCATCTAGTTCCTTGGCTGTTTACCCCTTTATTGTTGCATGCAATGTGTTTGTCCAGGCAGGTGGGCAAGGCACAATAGTCCACCGCAGTAGCGAGTCCAATTAAAGCCACTGCTGCTGCCAGGAGAGCCGTCACTTTGAAGAACGCCATGCTCTTGCTTTGTGATGCTACTGAGCCGTGTTCTTGGCAATTTATAGGCCTCCCGTTTGCATTTTCTTCCCAACTTCAAACTATTTTGACAGACCATTATAATTGAATTCAAAGGAAATTACTTGAAAACAGGCCTTCTTTGGAAAACAGTTGTGAAAATAGCTATTATACATGTGTCAAACATTTGTAAATACATATGTATGTATGTATATATAAAAAGCTATGACTATACACATACATATGTAGTATGTTGTGGCGAAGTGTTCCCTATAAATAAAGAACGTTTTGTCTTTTAAACTTCAGTTGGAAGAACCCGTCGACCGACTTCGAATACTGTTGACGATGACTGGCCTGAAAATTGTAAAACTCTTGGTACTCCTAGCTTCAGTCCTTGGACTAGCTGCCGCAGTAGATTACTGCTCCCTGCCAACCTGCCTGGACAAACACATTGGCTGCAACAACAAAGGCGTAAGCAGCCGTTACCAATCCAAGTAATTTGGTAGTTAATTGTTCCATTTCCCCCATAGGAATATAGCCCTGAGTGCCCCAAGGATGTGCGTGAGGTGAAGATTGAACCCCATCATAAATTGATCTTGACTCTGTTCAACGAACTTCGCAATAACGTAGCCGGAGGCAGCATCGAAGGCTTACCCAAAGCCGTTCGCATGGCTAAGATGACTTGGTGCGAGGAACTCGCTCATTTGGCTCTCTACAATGTGAAGACCTGCCTCTCCATACCTGACAAGTGCCGCAGCACCGAGCGCTTCGCGTACGCGGGACAGAATAATGCTATCTTCAGCTACAGTGGCGCCGAATCCGAATACACCGATGCCGAGATCCTTAAGGAACAAATTGAAAACTGGTTCGCCGAACGGTCCAACGCCTCTCCTGAAATCTTGTCCAACTTCCCCGAAGAACTGCCTAACAAGAACGTCGCCAAATTCACCATTGCCGTGGCCGAGAAGAACACCCATGTGGGCTGCGCCGCTGTTCGATTCTCCCGCGACTTCTATAACCACTTCGTGTTGACTTGCAACTTTGCCACATCCAACATTATCGGTCAGCCTGTGTACACTCCCGGCGAGAAGGCAACCAGCGGTTGCAAGAATCGCTATGGCGCCGCCTTCGACTACCCCAACTTGTGCTACGCCAAGGAGATCTACGACAACGAGAAAGTAATTAATGACGTAAAGATTTACTAAATGAAGCAACGAGACGACTGCGAAAGGATTTGAAAGGATTTTATATGTCTTGAATGGAGGACTAAATAAAAAGCAATAAAACTAGCTCATTAATTCAACGCATTAAAAATTATGATTTTTAAAAATAGTGGAGCTGTGAAAATACCAGTATTATTATCGTTACATCGTTTGCAAGTGCTGCCATTTGAATACTTATTTCGGAGTGACTTGGTTGCACTTAAAAACAGCTGCAACTGTTTTGACCGGCTCTGAGCATACATTTTGGAAAAAATGTTATGTATGGGATTGCGGTTTGGGGCGAGACGTTACTTGAGCTACAAAGCCGTCCGTCGCCCAAATCTTAGCGGCACAGGCCGAAAGTTGACCGCGCCTAACATTGAAGAGGACCAAAATCAAAAAGGTGTTGGTTGTTTGACCAAACAGCTTAAAGCTAAAATTTTGGCGACGGGTCCCATAACTGTTGCGGACTACATGCGAGAAGTGCTGACAAATCCACATGCCGGCTATTACATGAATCGCGATGTTTTTGGTCTCGAGGGTGACTTTATAACATCGCCAGAGATATCACAAATATTCGGGGAGGTAAGGGCACTAACTTTTAAAATATTTATGCAAAGATAACAACTTTTACTTTCGTTAGCTTGTGGGTGTCTGGTTGCTAAATGAATGGCGCAAAATGGGCAGCCCCACGCCTTTTCAGATTGTGGAGCTGGGCCCGGGGCGTGGAACATTGGCACGCGATGTGCTTAAGGTGCTAGCCAAATTCAAATTGGGTACTGAGTTTAGCATGCATTTGGTTGAGATCAGTCCGTTTCTCAGCAAGGCACAAGCGCAACGATTCTGCTATACCCATGATGAGGTACCAGATGCAGCAAAGCAGCCGTACTACCAGACAGGCACCACGGCCACAGGTACTAAGGCATATTGGTATCGACATCTGGAGGATGTGCCACGGGGCTTCTCACTGGTCTTGGCTCATGAGTTCTTCGATGCGTTGCCCGTCCACAAGCTGCAACTTGTCAATGATCAGTGGCAAGAAGTGCTAATTGATGTGGCGGAACATGAAAATGAGAAGGTCGACTTCCGCTTTGTTTTATCCAAATCCCAGACACCTATGTCACGTGTTTTTCAACCGCTACCCCAAGAAACGCGTACGTGCCTGGAATATTCACTGGATACAGAACGTCATGTAGGTTTATTGGCGGAGCGAATTGAACGTGACGGTGGTCTAGCTCTGATCATGGATTACGGGCATTTTGGTGAAAAAACTGACACATTTCGTGCTTTCAAGCAACATGCGCTGCACGAGCCGTTGTTGGCGCCGGGCACTGCGGATTTGACGGCTGATGTGGACTTTAAGCATATCAAGCATGTGGCAGAAACTCATGGCCATATTTATTCCTGTGGGCCAGTAGAGCAGGGCCAATTTTTGGAACATATGCAGGGCAAGCCGCGACTAGAGGTAAGCTCCAAATTAAATTAAATCTCTTCTACCCAATTTCCGCTTGCCGTTTATTCAGTATTTTAAAAAGGTGAGAAAATATCCTTTGGATAGCTTGCATTACATTCCCGAAAATACTCTGTAATTTAGGTATTTCGATCGGTCATTTATACATACTACATCTGCAGGTTAACAAAAATAAATAGGGCTTAACAAACAAAAGTGATCCGAAAATACGCAAGTAAAACAATAAAGTTGAATTAAGATACTGGATACATTGATAAACTCAAATTTGAACAAAGACTACTGAAGAAAAGAAGACAGTGATCAAGGATTGTCCAGCAGAGTTCGGTTTATATTAGGTTGAAGGACTAGTGATTAAATAAGATTCACAAATGTGCTGTGTGTTACTTAAATTTGATAAAAAGGCTTTAATCGATTCACAAATTTCGTTTTTGCAGCAATTGTTGGCACATGCACTGCCAGAAAATCAAGACATTATTCGCTCTGGTTACGAGATGCTGACAGATCCTAAGCAAATGGGCAGTCGCTTTAAGTTTTTTGCAATGTTTCCGGGTGTATTGGCGGAGCATCTGAAAAAGTTTCCGGTAGCCGGCTTTACTTAGGTTTACTGAAAACTGTTTTGTCCATATTGTTAAAACAATTTTTCTCGTATTTATTCGTTAATAATTAAAAAGCTAATAATGCTAATTTTTGTAAACACTGTGTGTGTGGTTTTATTTCTTTTGGAATGTCCCATTAATGATTTGTAACTCTGCATTGGTTAGCTGCAAAACGGCGCCAATAGCGTTTAACATGTGTCGTTTGCCCTCCGCATCCTTGGCAACAATGAAGCTAATGATAACGTTCTTTAAATATTCCAAATTGGCGCCCTCACGTGTCTTACACCGCTCCAGTCTATAAGAATAACAAACAATTAATATACTGTGATATAGAGGAATCCAATTGATAGAATTAAATTATATAGTTGTAATAGGACAAGTGCATTAATAAAGAGCATCACATTAGGAGTAATTAAATAATTTGTATATTGGACAGGCTCTACTTGTGAAAGTATTCTTAAAAAAGCACTAATGGTAAACGCCAATAGTGACTGCTTTTATAGACTTTGAGAGTAACAAGTTTAAAAATAGTAAACACATCTGTGAGTAAGAGGTTAATAGGGCTACGCACCTGTCTACCTGCTCCTCGAGACATTCGATTTGCTCGTGCATCTCTTGCTGCGCCGTCACCTTCTCCTGTATGGCTTTGCGAAGCGACGATTCGGCGGCATATTTGGACTTACGGAGTGCTGTGATTTCGATTTCCTTTCGAGCCAGCTCATTGGCATAGTGAAGCATGTGGCAATTGTCACCTAGAGACAATTTCTTTGACCGCACCTTACGATCGCGTTCGCGTTCACCTGCAATGCTTTCGGCATCCGATGAGTTTGCATAGGTCTCGGCACTGGGGACGCTCGGATTAATTGTAACGGCAGAACTGTGAAATATCTCGAAAGATGTTTGCAGTGCCTTGATCTCCTGTTCCTTCTCGTCGAGCAGTTGGAGCGAGCGCTGACGTTGCTTTTGGAGCTGCTGTTCCAGCTCGTTCAACTTGCAACGAGTTTCATTTTCTAATTCCGCTTGATTTTCCTGCCACTTTACCCGTTCGTAATTGAGGGCCTGTCGCAACTTATCCCCTTGTTGCTTAAGCTCAAGCTCAGCTTCGTCAATATTACGATTCAGTACTTGCACTTTGTCCTGCAGCGTTTGTATTTGTGTCTTTTGCAGATTGATTTTTTCAATGAGTACAGTACGTTCCATTTCGGAGGCCTCCAGTGCCTGCTGCACACCCTGCAGCTGCTGCTCACATTGCACATGATTCTCAACGCTGCCATTGCCAATAGCTAGAACTTTGGTCAAATCCAAGGGATTGGTCGCACGTGCATTCTCGCTAGTAAGCAGCTTCTTTAGACGTACAATTTCTTCAACCAAGGCCCCAACGTCGTGATCATTAAAGGGCTTGGCCTCTGGTGTAGCATTAGTTGTCGTTAAGTTCAGGTCTTGAAGCTGCTGTTTGAGTGCATGTATGCTATCCTGATCCTGCTGTCGCAGACGATCGTAATTACCCACTGTGCTGCTGAGCTCAGCAAGACGTGCTTCCAAATTGGCCACGCGGTCCTCATGAAGGGCAACTTGCTTACGAGTCTGCTCCTCAGCACGTAATAGCCGTCGTTGCTCCTGGTTGATAGCTACAGCATGTTGCTCCTTTAGCTGTTGCATTTCCTGGCGGACTTGTTGCAATAGTGCTGCACTGTCCGATGAGGATGAGGTTGAGGTCTGATCGGCTTGGACCTGAAATTGCTTTAATTGTGCACGAGCTTCCTTGAGTTGCGCCTGCAGCTCACGCAAGCGGCTGTTTTCTGCCTCGTTGCTTGCAAACTGCGTTTTGAAATTATTCAGCTGCATCTCAATGTTTTCTTTAAAGTGTCGCTCATCGGCGTAGAGTTTTTGCAGTTCACGTATCATGAGCATTTGATTGTTGGTCTCTTTTTCACGTTCCTGCCGCTCGATGATCCACTTGGCTTTCACCTCATCCACATCGGCCTTGCTACGCAGTGCTTGCTCCTTGGCCTTGGCATTCAGTTCCTGTATGGTTTTTTCCTTTTGCGCAATTTGGCTTCGCAACTGCTTTTTGTCTGCTTGAAAGGATGCCTCCATACGCGACTTTTCGGCCGAAAGCGTGGCCAAGGAGTTCATCAGCGTTATTATCTGTGTTTGCAATTGCCCTTTGTCATCATTGGAGGTTGTAGGATCTGTCGCTGAGGCGCCATCATCAACTGCTGTGTCCACGGTATCCTTATTTGAATTATTCGCAATTGCTGCTTCTGCATGATCGATGTCTTTGTTGTTGCTGAGCGCGGCTAAACTGGTTTCCAATGCCTCCTTTTCCTTCAGCAGACCCTTGTAGGCAGTTACAACATCTATAATAAAATTGGTGGTAAATAAAGCCTCAAAATATAGGTCGCACAGTTACCTTTTAGTCGCTTTTCATAGCGTGTCAGTTGCTCCTTTTGCGATGTCACTAACGCCTCCAGCTCACGTTGTTTCTTGTCCATATTCAATTATTTAAATCGCCAACACTGCTTGTTTTTCGTGGCATTTTTGCTAAAACTGTTAAACAATTTTCAGGAACAGCTGTTCGATTTTTTTAAAGAGCTGCCAACCTGTATTTGTATTTGCTTTATTTGAATAGTGATGGCTTATAGTTGGATGAGCTGCGATTGTAATTACATTAATTTTATTTTTAAATTTACACATCTATTTAAATAGGCTATAAAACATTAGCTTATATTATAGTTATCCTGCCTATTCGTCGTCATTTTCGTCCTTCATCATTTGTTCTATTAGGCGTTTGCGTTCCTCTGCCTGCCGAAGCTTACGCATAACCAAATCCTCATAGTCTCGGGTTGATACATTCGTTGTACCGATTGTCGCTTGCTGCTCTTGCTTTGGCGCCGTAACCCATTCGAACTCCAAGGGATTTGTGGGACTGCCATGCTCATAGGCAAGTACCATGTCGCAGGCTTCACGAGTCTTAAGTTCTACCATCGCACGGCCCGGTTTCTTGCCATTTATGACGAGCGCCACTATTTCCCCGTATTTTTTCAGGTACTGCGTTAGTATATCTCGTGTATAGCCGCCATTGCTCTCATCTTTTTTGTCCGCTTTCCATCGGATCTTTATGCGATGTTGGGCAGAGTCGAACGTGGCTGTTTTCGGCTGTCGATCCGCGAAACTGCGTTGCAGCTGCTCACGCATCGTCCTTTGCTCTTCCTCAAGCAGCTTGGAGCCCTCTCGTCGAAGGCGTTCGATTTGGTCCTGTAGCAACTCCTCGTCACTCTTGCGTACTGTACTGTATGGTGTTGAAGCTTGTAACTTGTGCAATGCGGCACGCTCACGCTGTTCCAGCTCATCTTTTAGTTTTTGCCGTTTGCTATCCAATTGTTTGGTGCGCAACTCTGCAGCTTTTTTAGCCTTCACAACCTTGTCGTATGCAGTACGCGCCGTTGCATCGGTGAGAATTTCCAAAGCTTTTGAGAGTTCATGAAATCGTTCGGCCGCCTTCGGATTGTCTGGATTCTTATCTGGATGGCATTCAAGTGCTCGCTTTCGATACGCTTTACGTATTTCCGTTTGCTCGGCTTCTATAGACACACCGAGCAAATCATACAGGTTAATATCGCTGATTTTTTTATTGTCCATGTTGGCTAAATAAAAATAAGCCGGGAACACTTTGTATAGCGTTTCTACTTTGTTTATAACGATGCCATGGCACAGCTGTTATTGGCAAGCGAGTTGGCAGCACTATATCCGAGCAGCCGCAACGTGCTAAGCCCTTTCAGTTCTAATTGTTGTTTAAGCTTAAAGACACAAACAGTATGCACAGAGCGCCATAAAAAATGAGCATCTACCATGACGAAGTCGAAATCGAGGATTTCGAGTATGATGAGGAGGAGGAAATGTATTACTATCCCTGCCCATGCGGCGATCGATTTCAAATATCAAAGGTACATACAAAAAGTATAGTAAAGCTCGCGACGTATACGCAATATTTTTAACCAAGGCTAACAATTTATATAGGAGGAGCTAATGGAGGGTGAGGAGGTGGCCACATGTCCTAGCTGTTCGCTTATAATTAAAGTTATTTATGATCCGGTATGAGTTTCGTAACATGCGGTATTATTTTTATATTACCTATTTATTCATGTGCAGGACATGTTCAAAGCGGAGGAGGATGAGTCAGCGGCGCTAAATGAAAAAATGAGCAATCTTATATTGGAAAAAAACTAAAAACTTGCATGTAGTTTAATTAAATAGGTTTTATTTATATATGTGTATTTTTATATAGGTTTTTTTTCGTTAGAATTAAAATAATATGTTGACTAGTAAACAATGAAATACATATGTATAAATAAACACAAATTTCATTGTTATGATAAAATTGTGTGTCGACTATTTAAACTTAAAGATTCTCATAAGTTTGTGTACATGAAAAATATTGCACTAAGCGCTTTTTGGTCTGTCAATTTTACAAGCAAGCGCATTGTGTTAAATTAGATGTTTAAATAAATTTTAAATAAAAGATAAGGAACTATTGTAAATACATGCTTACATATGTACGCATGTGCAGCGTGGAAATGTGAGTAGTTTCGTAGTAAAAAACATACATACATAATATAACATAGTACATAATACATTTTGGGTATTATTCGCCACATTTTAGCTTATGAATTAATGGGTTGACCTAACGTATAGATAGCATTAAATATTGTTACGATACGAAGAATTATTACTTTTAGAGAGCGTGCTCGTTCAGCAAACTGCAAACTTTGAATTGTTTTTTGGAAAAAATGAAAATTCGAGACATTCAGTTTGCATTACACATTGTGCCCATTGTGCTGCCATGCTTGCGTGTGGATGTGTTTCTTCTTATTGTGGGTAACTACAGTCTGTAGCACTACTACTGTTCCAACCAGGAACCAGTGACAGTATTCGGTGATTTTAACTGCAAATGGAAATTAGTTTAAAACCTTAACTAAATATTATAAGTAATCATCAAACCCACTTTAATATTGAACTGTTTCAAAGTACTCTCCAGTGCCATGGCATTACCCGAGAAATAAGCTGCAATCGCATTGTGCAGTAAAATAAGCTGCTTATGCATCACTTTGATCTGCATGAACAAGCATTGTTAATAATATTATAGCGGTTATTTCCATATATTTACCCGATTCTCGTCAAGAAATTGCATTTTCACGGCAACATCGGCACGCAGCTTTTCATAGAGCTCCTTATGATGCGCATAACTGCGCTGTGCTTCCTCCACTGAGCACACGGTTTGTGTCATTTCGGGTTTGGAGTTCTCTAAATCCATGCGATAAGCATCGAATTCAATTCTTGAAAAGCAAGCAAGTTGTAGACAGTATTAATGTCATTTTATAGAACTTTGTTAACACTCGTCTGAATAAAGAATATTACCTTGCTGTCTCGTATTGTCGTATCGTTAACAAAGTATCATCGATAGTCTTATTGCACAACGTGTTCACAGAAGAAATGAAAAAATTGAGTGCATTTAGGAGCAGTTCACCGTTTTTGGTCAAATTTCGTTGTGTCTCCGAATTGCAGGTGAATTCCTTTTGCAGTTCAGGGTTCTTTTGTGATAAATCGGAAAATGCATCAGCTAAGGCATGTTGCGTGACAACTACGTTCCTAAAGTGTGAGCTGAAGGCTCGAGTCAAGCGCAATATAGACAAATACTTTCGTTGTGTTTCGCGCAATTGTTAACCCATTCGACTCCAAGGGATTGTGGGACTGCCATGCTCATAGCAAGTACAGTCGCAGGCTTCACGAGCTTAAGTTCTTACCATCGCACGGCCCGAGTTTCTGCATTATGGCCGAGCGGCAACTATTTCCCGTATTTTTCAGGTACTGCGTTAGTATATCTCGTGTATAGCCCCGCCTTGCTCTCATCTTTTTTTGTCCGCTTTCCATCGGATCTTTATGCGATGTTGGGCAGAGTCCGAACGACCATGGTCTGTTTCGGCTGTCGATCCGCGAAACTGCGTGCAGCTGCTCACGCATCGTCCTTTGCTCTTCCTCAAGCAGCTTTGGAGCCCTCTCGTCGAAGGCCGTTGCTGATTTGGTCCTGTAGCAACTCCTCGTCACTCTTGCGTACTGTACTGTATGGTGTTGAAGCTTGTAACTTGTGCAATGCGGCACGCTCACGCTGTTCCAGCTCATCTTTTAGTTTTTGCCGTTTGCTATCCAATTGTTTGGTGCGCAACTCTGCAGCTTTTTAGCCTTCACAACCTTGTCGTATGCAGTACGCGCCGTTGCATCGGTGAGAATTTCCAAAGCTTTTGAGAGTTCATGAAATCGTTCGGCCGCCTTCGGATTGTCTGGATTCTTATCTGGATGGCATTCAAGTGCTCGCTTTCGATACGCTTTACGTATTTCCGTTTGCTCGGCTTCTATAGACACACCGAGCAAATCATACAGGTTAATATCGCTGATTTTTTTATTGTCCATGTTGGCTAAATAAAAATAAGCCGGGAACACTTTGTATAGCGTTTCTACTTTGTTTATAACGATGCCATGGCACAGCTGTTATTGGCAAGCGAGTTGGCAGCACTATATCCGAGCAGCCGCAACGTGCTAAGCCCTTTCAGTTCTAATTGTTGTTTAAGCTTAAAGACACAAACAGTATGCACAGAGCGCCATAAAAAATGAGCATCTACCATGACGAAGTCGAAATCGAGGATTTCGAGTATGATGAGGAGGAGGAAATGTATTACTATCCCTGCCCATGCGGCGATCGATTTCAAATATCAAAGGTACATACAAAAGTATAGTAAAGCTCGCGACGTATACGCAATATTTTTAACCAAGGCTAACAATTTATATAGGAGGAGCTAATGGAGGGTGAGGAGGTGGCCACATGTCCTAGCTGTTCGCTTATAATTAAAGTTATTTATGATCCGGTATGAGTTTCGTAACATGCGGTATTATTTTTATATTACCTATTTATTCATGTGCAGGACATGTTCAAAGCGGAGGAGGATGAGTCAGCGGCGCTAAATGAAAAAATGAGCAATCTTATATTGGAAAAAAACTAAAAACTTGCATGTAGTTTAATTAAATAGGTTTTATTTATATATGTGTATTTTTATATAGGTTTTTTTTCGTTAGAATTAAAATAATATGTTGACTAGTAAACAATGAAATACATATGTATAAATAAACACAAATTTCATTGTTATGATAAAATTGTGTGTCGACTATTTAAACTTAAGATTCTCATAAGTTTGTGTACATGAAAAATATTGCACTAAGCGCTTTTTGGTCTGTCAATTTTACAAGCAAGCGCATTGTGTTAAATTAGATGTTTAAATAAATTTTAAATAAAAGATAAGGAACTATTGTAAATACATGCTTACATATGTACGCATGTGCAGCGTGGAAATGTGAGTAGTTTCGTAGTAAAAAACATACATACATAATATAACATAGTACATAATACATTTTGGGTATTATTCGCCACATTTTAGCTTATGAATTAATGGGTTGACCTAACGTATAGATAGCATTAAATATTGTTACGATACGAAGAATTATTACTTTTAGAGAGCGTGCTCGTTCAGCAAACTGCAAACTTTGAATTGTTTTTTGGAAAAAATGAAAATTCGAGACATTCAGTTTGCATTACACATTGTGCCCATTGTGCTGCCATGCTTGCGTGTGGATGTGTTTCTTCTTATTGTGGGTAACTACAGTCTGTAGCACTACTACTGTTCCAACCAGGAACCAGTGACAGTATTCGGTGATTTTAACTGCAAATGGAAATTAGTTTAAAACCTTAACTAAATATTATAAGTAATCATCAAACCCACTTTAATATTGAACTGTTTCAAAGTACTCTCCAGTGCCATGGCATTACCCGAGAAATAAGCTGCAATCGCATTGTGCAGTAAAATAAGCTGCTTATGCATCACTTTGATCTGCATGAACAAGCATTGTTAATAATATTATAGCGGTTATTTCCATATATTTACCCGATTCTCGTCAAGAAATTGCATTTTCACGGCAACATCGGCACGCAGCTTTTCATAGAGCTCCTTATGATGCGCATAACTGCGCTGTGCTTCCTCCACTGAGCACACGGTTTGTGTCATTTCGGGTTTGGAGTTCTCTAAATCCATGCGATAAGCATCGAATTCAATTCTTGAAAAGCAAGCAAGTTGTAGACAGTATTAATGTCATTTTATAGAACTTTGTTAACACTCGTCTGAATAAAGAATATTACCTTGCTGTCTCGTATTGTCGTATCGTTAACAAAGTATCATCGATAGTCTTATTGCACAACGTGTTCACAGAAGAAATGAAAAAATTGAGTGCATTTAGGAGCAGTTCACCGTTTTTGGTCAAATTTCGTTGTGTCTCCGAATTGCAGGTGAATTCCTTTTGCAGTTCAGGGTTCTTTTGTGATAAATCGGAAAATGCATCAGCTAAGGCATGTTGCGTGACAACTACGTTCCTAAAGTGTGAGCTGAAGGCTCGAGTCAAGCGCAATATAGACAAATACTTTCGTTGTGTTTCGCGCAATTGTTCGATTTGTGCCTCCAGCTCCGAGTCGACTGTACGTTGAGATTTTCCCAATTTTTCGAGCATTATCTGACGTGTACATTTATACGTTGATATGCTCCAATTCTTTATGCTATCGATCTTGGAAGCGCTGGTACGTATAAGTCCATCTGTCGATGTGAAAACGCCATTGCTGCTTTGTGGACTTGTCGGCGACATGGGTGTGGTGGGGGCTGTAAAACACTCATTATTAGTATGAATGACCTTTGCGAGCCTGCGTCTGTTCACCTGAATGATTTCTTGAGGGAAAACTGTTGCCAAAGGGTCCAATGCCGCTGGCGACGACGCCAACACTGTTACTGCTGCTGCTCATTGGAATGCCTTCTTGGACGGCGGCACCACAGTCGTTCATTGAAGGTGTATCTTTGAGCATTTCGTGTATGCTACGTTCACGTTCTGCCATAACTGATATTGTTTCTTTATCAACTATCAACGGCTGAAATATTTTAATTGCACTGTAAAAATCGTTGGACGAGGGGTGAGCGATGAGCTGTGCAGCAAATACAGCGCACAAATCGATTTAAAACGCTATGTGTGGAAGTTTCTTCTGCTTTTCATGAATATGAAGTACTAAAGATGTTACACGCAAATGGAGCCGCTGGAATTTGCACAAACCCTCGGATACAGCTAAATTAGCCAGTTTACGTGTTTCTTAGATAGAGCGAAAATAGGGATAAGGAGTGTTGGCTAATTGCGTTTTGTTAGGGATGAGCAATATCGTGATATTTTTGCTTTTATTGTGACTTTAGTTGTAACTTTTCAATTCCAAGGAAAAAGTATCCATTCATTATAATGTTATCACTAATATTGCATTAATCGTCTTAAGTATGTCTAATGGCGGCTTTTAGAAATACTTAAGCAGTCCTAGTTAAATGTAGAAATATCGATACATTTTTAAAAAGCTATGAACAGTATGTTTGATATTATCGTGGTTTTTTATATTATTGAGCCAAATCGGTTATTTGTCATATGAACTTTGTCGTTTACGGAGATAGAAAAAGTATGCATTTACTAAAGTATATAAGCCATGTATATAAATTCCATACACATCACTATTTTATATAAATATGGAATCTATTTTTAAAGAATTTATTTTAAATAACAATGAACCGGAACGGACCAACGATGTGCTAATAAAATTGCAGTTCGTGCCTAGTGTTGAAAAACATAACATTTTAAATTGCAGCTCAGTTTGCCATTCACAGTTAAAGAAGTGCTTCGTTCTCTTAATTTGGGGTTTTTGTTGGCAGGAAAAGTGCTTTAGTTATAAAATTCGGCATATTCGCAATATATTGATTTCACAAATATTTTCTGCAATTGTCTAATTGTCTTATAATGGTCTACGTACAAGTTCTTATGGGCCTTGCTGCAGTCCTGCTAGGTGCTGGCTTAGCTATATATCTAAGCACGCCAAACAGAGCTCCTCCGCATCAGCATCCAAGACGGCGCAGAGATGATGATGACGATGATACTACTCCTTTCGGCAGTAGCGTAAGGGAACTTGGTGTACGAGCACAACGCACTCGTCCAACGTTAGCGACCCTAAAAAACAAATTACGCCTTAGCTGCTGTTATCTTTGTTTTCTTTTTCAGACGTGTCGGTGATACTTGTTGTATATGCTTAAATACGCTCGACGCAACTATGCATGTAATGAATTGCAAGCATGCGCTTCATTTGGACTGTTTTAGTGTGCTGAAGCATGCTCGAAACACCTGCCCCATATGCTTTGCACGAGTGGTACGTCACTCTCAGCCCGGTGACCAGTGCACGATTTGTTTGACTGCGATGTCCAACGACGATATGCAATACATGAATTGTGAACATGCCATACATAAAAAATGCCTGCTTGAGTATAAGGAGAAGATGCAGAGCAACACGTGCCCGCTGTGCCGCGCTAATATCTAATGTAAAATGTGTGATGTTAATGGACTGTTTAGCTGAGGACTCCAAAACTTGTAAGCTGTAGTTTGCCTTATCTGAAAAAATTAGTTGCTACATACATATGTATGTATAGTTTACACATAGATTTTATTAACTCAAAAATAAATTTCTGTCATTTTGTAATAATGCTTAGAGAAATGCTTCAAGTACGGGTGCCACACGCTGTCGCCAATTTTCGCGCCAGCGCAATGATTGGAATTCCTGAAGATTGCGACCAAAGCGCGTGCGCGTCTCGAGAATGCTGGGATTGGTGGGAAAATGCTCGAACCAGATTCTCAATTGCTCCGCTAGTTCGTCGTGATCGTTAAACACGAAACCATTTTCGCCGTGTTTCACCAACTCGTCAAGACTGGACATAATATTGCAAAGACACATTAGTTAATTGTTGACACTTGGCCTTGTCTGACATGCTGTTCACTCACCATTTGAAATTGTAGGCACATACGGGTAAACCGCATCCAAACATATCTACCACCTTCATAGGCAAATCCAAGCCGCTGGTGCTCAGGTGCAGGCACACACCCAAGTCGGCGCTTGCTAAGACACCGGGATAGTCTTCCAGTTCTAGCCAAGGTGTGATGATTGAAACCTTCTTCCACTGTAGTTTCGCTATTTCCGCTTCATAATGCGCCTTTTGCGGGCCCTTGCCCGTAATAATGCACAAGAGAGAAGGGTACACCTGTGGCTGATCTACGGCGACAGCTTCGTAGGATTTGAGGGCACGAAGCAGAATTCCAAAGTCCTCATCGGGCGTCCAACTGGTACTGGAGACAAGAATAGCTTGACGTTGGGGCTTATAAAGTACTGAGCCATTGGCTCGTTTTTGCGTCAGGGCCGTGGACTCCACGACGCCCGACTCCTTGAGGTCCGCATAGCACTCGGGCATGAATTGTGGATAGTCTTTGGAGAGCTTCATGTAAAGGTCGTGCTTTTGTGACAGTTCAATGGGATGAAATTGTGATGGGGCACGATCGTAGAGCACGGTCACCGGACTGTAATAAGAGAAAGAATAAGTAAATAGGAGACATGAACATAAGAGGAAGTCCGATTTACCCAATTTGCCAATTGTGTTCCAAATCTCTCTTCATTGCCTGTGTCACGCAGAAATTGGTGTGGGCCTTGGCTCCAAAATAACGCTCTAAACGCTTAGTCAGGCGACTCAGGCGGTTTTGTTCGCCGCCCGGCATTCCCAGGGCCAACACCGTGTACGTATAATTGTGCCAATCGATGGCCAATTTGGTGCGTGTCACTGCACAATACAAATAACACACGACTAACGTTGGAATCCCAGGCGGATTCTGCACAAGCAGGAAATTGGGGCGTCTGATGGAAATCAAAGCAATCAACAGGCTCAATGTTTGCCAGATAGCTTTAAAAAGCAGTTTCAGCTTGGGCGTTAGATTCGTGACCGGCACGGGAGGCAGTTCGTGTATTTTGCACTTAGGTTGCGCTACTGTCAATGCGTCCAGTGGCCGGCTCTCCAAGTAGCCAATAATATCCACATTGTAGTTGTCTTCGAGCAAGCTCTGGGCATGGTATTGCATACGTGGACTGCGTCCGATATCGCCTAATACAATGACGCAAGCGCTGCGTTTCCGTATCTTTACTTCAACCATCTAGTTGCTGCCACAATGGCACGCATACAAGTTTGTAGTTGTAGCTGCCGCTCAGTTGCAAATGAATAATTTATTCCTCCGTCAGGCGCGAATTCTAATTGAACGGGGTTATTTGTTGTACCGCTTTCACGTTCTTAATAAAAAATATGCGCGCACAATAATTGACTAGATTACAATCAGGCATTCGCTTTTCAGGGCTGTGGCGATAGCAGCTGCTTGGACAGCCGTTTCAATGCTTTACGGCAGCCCTGGTTGTCGTAATGAAATACACAAAATTTTACCAAACGCCAGTGGAATCAAACTGAGGCAGTGCATTTGCTCTCTGTCTCGTGGGATATTTGTGCGTGAGTGGACGTGCAGCTCGCGAACGCGGTGTTCTAACTAGCAGGTTAAGCTGTCTCTCTACTATACATTTGTACGCGGCATATGTGTATGTGTGTGTTTATTTAAGGGCCCTTTTATAAGCCAAATTGTGCGGTAAATATTTGTGAAAAATGCTTAAAATGCAATTAAAAATGTGGCCATATTGTTTGTTGCAGTTTAAGGGTCATTTCACCGGTATGTGTTGAATTAATGATAACATTGTTAAAAATTAACAGCATCCCTTCTTTTGCTTGATTAAATTTTAATTTAGTTTTTGAACTATGTTATTATGATAGTTTTTTTTGTTGTTTTTTTTTTTTTTCAACCGCCTCTTTGCTTGCATGTTTGCCGGTAAAACAAACCAGACAGATAGCGAAAGAGGCAAGTCGGACACGCGCACATACATACATATAGGCATAGACACAAAGCCACCCACATAAAGGAGTTTTTTTTATTTGTGTATTGTATTGTCGCCTCAATATCAACATCGTTATGCTTAAATATTTAGCCTGGTGTGTGTGTTTTTATTAATCAGCGATGTCTTAAGTAGGCGTGTAGTACCGCATGTGGCAGCTACTAGTTTAACCCATTAGCCTGTCTTGTCGTCTGGAACACGTGACAGGTCCATAAGTTGATGCCCCTCTTACTCTTCTGCTGAAAAGGCAAATAGCCAAAAGCCGCCTGCATCGCAAAGAGTCGGATGCCATGACGGACAGCCAGACCAGACTACGTTGTACGACTGTTGTTTTTTTTTTTCTGTCGAGGGTGGTTGTCTTGCAGGCGCTTGCCCGTGGGTGATTGACTTTGGGGGTGATGGTGGTGGTGGCAGAGTCGCCTGTGCGCTCGCGACGCGAAACATTCTGCAGTTTTGTGATGATGCTGCCTTTTCACTACTGTTTGGTACCCTGCATCCGCAGGGTGCAAGAGTATACTACATTATGTTGCTATATGGGCAGATTAAGTATAAATATATATATTTTCGATCCCTTGTTCATAAGTAATGGCTAATAATATATAGAATTTATATTATATATATGCAAATATGTATGTACATACTTGTACATCATTTAGATGTTTTCACATATCTATGCCATTTCAATTATTAAGTTTTAAATATGTTTAAAGTGGTGTTTAAAAAAATGTGGATTTTTGATTAATTTTGAAGATATCCCAAATCAATTCCTTATTTAAAACTTGCACCTTTTGGTTGCAGAATTTTGGTTGATCCCAGAAATGCATGTTGTTTTAGAGTGTATTCCAAAAGTCGGCCAACTTGACTGTTGGATTAAATTAAACAAAAATTTTCCGTGTTTTGTCTCACATTTGGCATAGAAAAGTTGTACGTCTGGTTAGTCTGCGCAGTCTAGACGCCCATTGCACCGTACCTTTAACTGCATGAGTAACTCCAACTGCACACACACACACACACACTACTACACCTACACAGTTGGCATCTGTGTGTATATGTGTTCTGCTTCATTGTCGTCTGGCACATTGCTGACATTTATTCTGGCCTTCTTCTTCACGATGCTGTGAACCGAAAATTTGGCTAAAACGTTAAATGCATGGCTAAACTAATAAATCCTTTAGAATTGCCTGCAAATTTGTTATCGCAAGGGTTACATAATTACTACATTTTCATCGTTTTTTCCAGTGTAAAGACGTTACAACTTAACTGAAGTAATCCGATGTATCCTACAAATACTTAAAGTGTTGGCAAATCATATGGGCATTCCGTATGTCGGAAAGTAATTAAAGTCTAGCGAATGAAGAATTATCTGAAAGATATTGAACACCAATTGTAGGTGAGTAAGAGTAATCCGGAATGGGGGAAGAATTTAACAAGCGCTAGACAGTTGAAAACATACTAATAAATTAAATAAATCATCGCATCCATGTTATTGGGACTATAATTTAGACAAGCTCTGAAAGACAACTGTCTTTATTTATACATAGTTTATCCACCCAATTTATTGTTTCGCCTTTTAACCATTTTCCAAAATTATTCGAATTTAATTCGCTTTTGAAATTTTACAGCAGTTGAGTGCATAAATAGCGATAGACAAAAAGTATTGTTTTTGGCTTAAGCCCCCTCTTTTATGAACTACATCGTAACAATTTTGGAATTCTTATTTAACGAAAATGGGGTCGTACAATACCTAAATTCTACTCCCAATCGCGTGTTATAACTGCAATAATCGGAAACTGGTTTTTGATTTTATGATGTAAGTCTGACATTGCTCCTTCAAAGTAAAAACAATTTTGTATATTAATAAAAGCAAAGCGACAATGCTGAGCATATCTTTCTTGAACTATGAATACAAAACTGCCATGGTTCCTGAATCGGAATCATCAGATCGGTTGTGTTGCTCATCACTAATACATAGCATTACATTATTCCACACAAAATCGATTATCGCTGCCATCTAATTTGTATGCCACAGCTGCGACTCGGAGGTATGTGGAAGCGACGGCTCAAGATGAGCTTCAACATTGCATACATAGCTGGCAGCCTTTGCTGTCGGCATAAGGCGCCAAGTCGGCAAAGGCGAGCATATTAAGCCATCAAAGGCATAATTTGAATAATGTGCAGCAATGTTTGCTGCAATGGGCACGCAAAGCGCAGGTGACAACATCAAGGGTGGTGAGGTGGGCGTCTAGACGGGTAACTAAAGCAATTTGTCGCATTATGTTCAAATTCATTGTACGAGTATGTGTCTTAGGACTACGAGTATGTGCATACTCGTATGTACAAACGCCTGTGTGTGCATTTCACTCAAAGCTGCCAAATATTCGTATCCTAAACAAACTTCCGCTTCATCGTGCACGATGCAAGCTGAACGAATTTCAAAAGACCAAAATAAATATACATGAGTGTAATTAAAACACTTTATTTGAGCCGATATTCAATGTGCGTGTGTTTGTGTTTGTGTGTGCATGTGGAGCGTCTTAAAGACCAAAGCAAGTGCATTTCTATTTTCGTCATATACATGTGTATATGTCGCCGTTCTGCCCTCCTCTTGTTTAACTTTGTGACTCAGGCAGCAGACCCGAAATACTTTCGTTTGACATTTTTCAAACAATAAGCAAACAAAAGGAAACATACAAGTATAGGAGTGCTTGTGCATATGTATGTATGTGTGCCATACATTTACAATAAACACTTCAAATAGTTCTAAGTTCTATATGTACTTTATGGCCAGAGTTCAAGTGCGTTTAAATTTGGCAACGGAAGTATTCGTCTTCACTGTCGAAGGTTTCCTCTTCCCTTCCGTCGCATTATTGGCCCGGTCGTTTTTTGTAGGTTCGTGCCAGCACTTTATCTTTGGTGTTCGATACTTAACGATAATGAGTTTTGTTCTCCCATGCAAATGATAAGCACGTGACAGTATTTGGACGCGCTGTTGGCTAGACTTAGCAATGTGGCTCCAGGAGGAGTGCCCTTGGGTCTGGAAGACACTTGACTATAAGCAGCTTTGTATGTTGGTATTTAATGGTAATGGGGGTGGTGTTTCATTGTTATTTGCAACAAATTTTTAAAATCTTAGTGCACCATTTTACGCTATAAAAATGTGGAACTATTTAAGTGTGATTCATAAGATTCATAAAACACATTTTGTTTTATATAATAGTGGAATTTCGATCTTGTTTCGATTATTACAATTAAAATGCTTAATGTTTAAAATTGTGACGAGTGCCCACTTCTAGCTGCAGCTAACATTGGGTAATACTTCCTAAAAATAAATATTCCTAGAAATTTTAAACTATAATTGTGAAACATAAAGGCATAAAGCAAAATTGATAATGGCCGTCTTCGGTCCATAACAAGTCACGATTAGCATTTTAAGAGATTTGGGTGAACACATTCATGTTTGCTTAAAAACTGCATTCTTCCTTGCCACAGAGTACACTTTATTTTACAAAAATAGTTTTCCATTAGCGACCGTAGCAGTTACCAAATGAAATTCACAAGCCTGCCTTGTAGTTTCACGAGCTGAGAATTATTTCAGGAAAAGCCTGCAGGCATAGATTTGTTTGCATCGCATGCCAAGAGCCCAAACAAACAGCAATTCAATCGCTATAATTAGTTGCGAATTCGTTCTGCTGGCCGGGCGACCCTCCGGCATTTATGCCTGACAGTTGCCGTCTTCACTCAGCTGTTGTATCTGCCAGATACTGACTGATTTGGTGCACTTCATTTAAGTGAAAGAGCTTATAGTGGTGATGGTAATGGCTGGCGGTCCGTGCAATTAGCAGTAAATTAAAAAGGCGAAAAGTTTGGGCGTGGTTGAAGTAAAGAGGTATGCGATTCGAAATAGAAACAGCAACAAGGAAAAAAACCGACACTCGGCGAAATAGGAAGGAACTACTTAGGAATTGTGTAGACATTTCAGTTACTTTTACAGTTTATAGTAGAATATATACATATCTTTTTTATTTGTTCTATTCTGTATATTTAGATTAAAAAGATTGAGATTGGAGATAGATCGTACTCTCAAATTGCTTTCAATTCAAGTATTTATATTATTTTCATTAAATATACATTGTATAGATTGCGTACATATTTTTGCATTTGTAGAATGTTAATAAGTAAATGAATATTGGAGTTTTCACCTAAAGCAATATGAATATGCACTTTGCGAAGTTAAAAATTGGATGGAATTCTAAAGCTGAACCATTTAAGTAACGACTTTTATTCGCCAAGTGTTGGATAAAGTAAAAGGAACGCATGAAAAAGCCAACTTCCATGGTGTCTCTCCTCTCTGTCTGCCTCTCTTTGCGTTCCCATTGCCGCCGGGCGTTGACGTTGTTATGCCCGGCACGTGAACGTGGATGCGGACGCGGACATGGACACGAACACGAACTACCAGATGCCAAGTGCAGTGACAACTACAACGGGACTTTCCCTACTTTTCGACAAAGGACTAAAGGTGGGAGCGTAGCAAAGTGTTATTAAGTTGAGTTGTTGTTGCCTCTGTTGTTGCTGCTATTGCTTTGGGCAATATTTTGCACCTCACGTTTATTGTGACATTATGTTTTAAATAATAGACAGAAACAACAGCAACAACGAGGCCAGAATATGTATACTTGGAGAGCAAAAATACAGCAAACACTTTTAGAACAACAAACACAAAAAGGCAAAGTTGTGACAAAGTGTGGGAGGGCAAAGGCAGAATGTGGGTTGGGATAGTGTTAGCATTTATGGTTGTTGTTGTTTTTTGTCTTTCTCGTTTTTTATTTTTGTGATTTTGGCATCCTTTACATTATGTTTTGATTAAAAACTGAGCCGGAGCACCAAAAGCAAACAACAAAGAGAGCAAACAAACGAACCGCAAAGTTGTTGGATTTTCTCTGTTTAGCTTTCCCTGCAGTGGGCAAAGGGAAAAGGGCGTAAAAAAATCATGAAAATCTGTTGAATTTGTGAAAAATGTGGACGAGCTGCAAAAAATTAAATATTCCCATTAATGTAGGCTGTATTTAAATTAGCTGAAAATATTAAGAAGTAAGTCCCTAAAAAAAGAATTATTGTACATATCTGACGATGTCTTATCGATCTGTGATTGTATTTCAAAAAATGATGATAAATAGATTGACCATTGTGCTGAGATTTATGAAATTTAATCATTTTGATAAAATGTAATTATTTTGACTTATATCGTCATCATTTTGACTTATATCGTCATCAAATCTCTGCTCGATTCAATTAAAATTATGACTCTTCAACAACAAGAGTCAACTTTTGATGTGTAGTAATATAATAAAGTCTGTTAGTTATGCGAAGGCATGCAGTTCAACACGAATAGTTGAAAAAAAGGAGTTTTCTGCAGTTGATGGGTCCTGTCATAGCTGGCTGCTGGCAGTCTGCAGCAAAGCCCCAGAATGAGTCATTTTGTGAGAGCAACTGAGTGGAGGGAGATAATGGGGGTTTCCACATATCCTGCTCTTTTCGGGTGGGTTGTGGTGGGTGGCGCCTGTCACTGTTCGCAAATTATGTTGGCGGCGTGCCAAATTGTTGGGTGTGAAAAAAAGAGAGCTGGCTGAGTGCTTTTGTCTGGCAATTAAGCAATTTATAAGTACTTCGATGTCTGCTCGTAGCTATCGTTATTTTGTTGTTACTCTCTCTCTCTCTCTCGCTCTTCCTTATATTCTTGTTTTCACAAATCAACTTTTGTAAATTGTGCAAATGAATGGCAAATATTTTTCATTAAATGGGGAAGCTGTCAATGCTCCCTAGGGCAGATGTTTAAAGTACATTCTTGCCACAGCTACTATGCCTTTGTTTTTACGTTTGTTGTTTTTTCTTTCGTTCTTGTTGTTTCGGAACTGCCATTATTTTTGTTGTTATTGTTTACGCGCCCCATTTGAGGCTTTTGTGTTATGCCACCTTGTCGTCGACAGCGGCTTGTAATCAAATAAATGACTGCGCCCAGGTGTGTGTTTTTGCCGTCGTGCCTTTATGTGAAGTCCCCTCCCTCTTTACCTCTCTCCTACATGAACACGAACACCCACATACGCATCCTTCGTCAAAGGGAGTGTGTATGTATGTTTGCCTGCCGGCGGCGCCTGCAACATTGTCAGTTGTTTCTTCATTTGCTGTCGCTGCTCCATTATTGGCTTTTGGTTTCAAACTGACAATAACAGCGGCTGCTGTTAGGGTTGCCAACACTTGGCAAAAATCCAATAAACGTTTGATATGAGTTCCAATCAGGTCCTACAATTTGTTTTATAATATAAAGGAATATATTATTTTTGTAAAAGAAAACAGAATAAATGTAATTTTAAACTCATAAACAGAAATAAAAATCTTAAGTAGTTTAGGTCCGAACTCCTAATCTGTAAGCAGCAAAGATTTCGTTGGGTAACCCCAAATATTTTGGATTACATAAAATAATATTCAAATTCAAATGAATATGATTTTTCTTAAGTTCCACCCAATTGGCCAGCCTTAGCGGTAAGAACTAGGAAGCCGAAATTTGAACGCAAGTAGAACGCATTTAGAAAATTAGAACTCCAACTTTATTAATTTAACAAACGTATACTTTAAATATTATGTTCTAAATAAAAATAGGTTTCAATAAAAAATTGTTTAGATGACAACACTAAAGAGCAGTTAAATAATATTGTGCTTAGGCCGCATTTGTGTGCCTTTTCTTTTCTGATTTTGTTCTCTTATTCGTCAATGTTGTTGTTGCTTTTAACGATGCGCAATTTGTCGTTAATTTTCGGCATTTTACTTTATATTTTATTTATTCAATTCCCTGTGATGCGTTGTCCCGCCTTCCAACACACAGTACTTTGATTGACTTTGCTTTGTTTTGTCATTTGCTTGCCATTACTTGGGACTTTGTTTTATGTCCTTGCTGCGAAAAGTTATTGTCAAAGTTTCGGCCATTAATAGACTTTCGTTAATATGCATTGTTGTTGGCCTTTGATCTAGAGATATTGGTGACCTTTAGCTATTTTAAAGCGATTATATGCTTGGCTGGCTTTTAAAATATATCTTAAAGTTGCCGACACATTACTAAAATAACGAAATATATTTGTTAAGCTTTGCGCAATTACAGAAAAATAATGCCTAAACCTTTCTAAGATATTGATTTTGCCATCGTTTAATAGAAGTTTAAATAAATAAAGCTTATGTGCAAGTTTAGTTAGGTTTGTTACTGGCTTGTGTCGAGCAGAGCTTCATGTAAGAGACCCACTTTATGGGCTGTTATATATGCATTTCCTCCTTTTCCTTAATTGTAAGCTGCTTTTATCTCCAGCGTGCAGCTGATATGCAATGGGCTAAACGTTTATGCTCTGCTAGCCGAATCTATGACACCAGATAGCGAGGTCATGCTCGAAACAAAACGAAGCCAAATGACTTCATTTTCATTAAGTCGCCGCGCACATGGGACCGCACAGGCAAACAAATTGCAGGGAGCGAAGCGCCAAGCGCCAAAAAAGTCATGCGGTTGGGCAGCCAAGTGTGGCGGCCGCTAAACAGGCAGCAATGCAGCGACTGTAGGGGAATGTGGTGGTTGCGGGAAGGGTGTAGGCAACAACTGCAGCAAACCGCAAAGTAACTGAAACGGCGCCACAGATGAGGAGACAGTCGGTCGGACATACGAGGAGAAGGCAGCTCAGCCATAACAAAACCGGCAACAAAATGGCATTGCTGTTGTTGTATCAGTGATGATTCTTCTTGCTCCTCTTCCTCAGTTGTTGCTTCCTTTACGTATTATCGCGGTTGTTGGTGTTGTGACCAACATTTGCCTTATTTTTGCTTCTTCGTCATTTTTCCTTTGACGCTCCCCCCAAAGCTCCTGAAATGCAACAAACTTGGCGGGGCGTGTCGTTGATGCGTGCTGTAATTGTTGCTTTCAAGCAGCTGCAAATGTTGCTGTTACATTTGCTGTCGTTGTGGCTTTTGCTTGCAACCATTATTGTTATTATTACTTAGCGCAAAGTGTTTAGTAAAGTGGCGCGTTTTCCTGAAGCAGACGCTGACTTAGACAGCTAAAGACATGTACATGAGAGCATAAATAATAGAAATACAAATAGCAACTGAAGTAACATGGCATGACATGGTTATAGAGCCTGTCATTTAATATTTCAATTGGGCTGAAGTGGAAAATATGAGATACATGCTGTATAGCTTGTAACATACTTAAAAGTTACCTTTTTTTCGTTTACATGTAGAGTCCACTAATAATTGAAATAAAAATAAAAACATAAAATACACTTGTACATTTGAAATGAGAAACGAAACAATTATTAAATCAGCTATATATTTGTGTAAACAAATGAAGAATTTATAATATTACCAACAATTCGAAATTAAAGTATATTAAACGGATCCAAGCTTGCCAAGAGATAAGAACATTTAATCAATGGAGTTGCTAAAAGAGTTTCATGAACACATTCCGTTTCACCATACTATTGATGTTTGCATAGCGATCTAAGGAGGGGCATTGGTGGAATCAGCCAACGCCTAACGAGAATCAAAATGTGCAACAATTGACAACGGGAACTCTGTCTGGCGCAGACATAGCCATAGACACACATACGCGGACAGTTAAATACGCACACATAGACAGACAATTAAGTGTCAAGTTTTTCACTAACATTGGCAAGCAAAATGAGACGCGTAACAGTCAACATCTAACATCCAACACCCAACGCCCAACGAGTGTTTTATGCTGTTTTACATTTGTTGGCTCCCGTTTTGTAGTGCCAGGAGTCGGGGGGTTGGATCTATAGGCCGCCATGTTGAACATGCAAAGGCATGCGGCGCTGGGAACAACATTTGTCAGCCAAATCGCGCACAGAGGCAACAAGGAAGAACAACAGCAAAAGCAACAGCGATGGGGACAAAAAACCAAAAGAGCAGACAACGGGGCGTATGTGTAACTTCCGGTTTGATGCTGCATGCTAGTTCACTATGCCTACAACCCAAACAACAACACCAACACCAACAGGAGCAGCAACAGCAACAGAAACAACAACTAGAATGTTAGCAATGGTTTTTGGTATTTGTGTGTATGTGTGTGTCGTTGTGTGAATGCTTCGGCAAGTGGATTATGTGCATGAATATTTCTGTTGTTGTTGTTGCTGTTGTTGTTGAGGCATTGATGTCGTTGTGTGTGTCTATGTATCACATGTGTGCACTTTATTTGCCAGAGTGCTAGTCATCCAGGCAACCAGCCAGCCCAACGAACCAAACCCAGCTCGGCAATTGTCAACAAAAGCCGCTTACAACACTTGAGGCGCGCACATTGTGGCCATTGTTGTTGTTGTTGTTGCTGCTGCTGCCACTTTTTGTTGCAACTAGACTCTCACTGCACTTAAATTACAATTGTTCGCTTTGTTGAACATTTGTTTTTCAAAGATTTTTCCGTTTTTTTATGCCTATTAATTGTGTTGGTTTTTACCCAGGAGGGAAAACTGTTGTACCTTTTGTTGTTTTTGTTGTTGCTGCTACTGTTGTCGGAGTCTGCCAGTTTAAATGGTATAAAATGCTAATCGCATTTAGTTATATGTATATAGCGTTGATTTATATACGGCTTTATGTATGCTTCGGTACATGTGCGTGTGTTGAGGCTTAACAGCTTTACAGCTTAAAGTTTTAAAGTTGACGAGGCGCCGAAAATTGCATGTTAATTTGAGCGAAATTAAAAATTAATGTTTTATGCATAAATGAAAGAGGCGAATGATGCCAGCAGTTACCTGAATTTCGCATTTACATTAATTTACGTATGTACATATGTAGTCGTATATATTTTTGTACAAGCAGAGCAACAAGCATACGAATATGTATGGCATAAATATGCAGTCAGGCTGGACAAGTTATTCTTAATTAGCATTTAACGCAACGCCTCAAACTATACAAGTAATTCAACTGTACTTATAGGGGCGCAGGATTACAGGACAGGTTTACGAATGCAAACATACCAAAGCTGCGGTCAGACAGCCAAGTGAGTTACAACAAAACTTCTTCAATTTTAGGCGTACATTAATATATAGTATGTCATGGATGTAATGGTATTTTAATCAATCATTGTATCTTACAACTAGTGCTGAAAAAACGTCGATGTTTACCTTCACTGATGTGTCGATGTTTTCTGGAGAAGAACATCGATGTATCAATGTATTGAACTTCTAATGGTGAATTTACAAATATTTTATAGTAACGCTTATATATAGAGTATTTCAATAACATGATGAGAATACACACACACACAAATAATACTGAACCTGCAAGATAATATTTACATTTGCTATTAGAATTTAATTGACCTAAATTTTTCAGTGAAATTTGTTAAGTGAAAAGGTAGTAAATATCATCGAACATAAAAACTGGTTCCCTTTGTCGTAAACTGTTAACTGGTAACAGTATCACTTTTTTACTCTGTGTCATAATAGTTTGTAACATAGAATGTATGTACCTCACAAAAGGAGGTGTATCAGATCCCCTTAAGTATATATATTGTTGATCAGGATGATAAAACGAGTCGATAAAGACGTGTTTGTCTGGTCGCTCGTCTGTATGAACGCAAGGTTCTCGGAAAGTATAAGGGCTAGAATTACAAAACTTGGCATCCAAGTTCCCTAAGCCCTAGTCAGATAAAGTTTATTAATTTTTAGTGATTTTCCATAATTCTTGAAATATTTTACTCAAACTCGACAATTACATCCAGTTAGTGCCTTTCTGATTGTTTAAAAGAGATTTTCATCAAAGAGAAACATTAGAGAAAAGAGAAAAACGATGGAAGATAGCATATATAGATACTACATCAGTTTTGAAGTAGAGGATTGCAATTGAATATTGACTTCTTTAAAAACTCAATTGGTTAAGGAGAATTAAACTGATATAATTCTCTTCAATTCTTTTTCCTTTTTATTTTTGAAATAATTTGAAAAGCATGTACATTTTTATGTGGGCCAATAATGACGACGACCGCCAACATTCGGGCAACTTAAGCATCTATCGCATATTGGGCAAAAGCGTCTACGTCTATTTCTCCTGCACATCATGCATTGACCTCTTTCCATGGCTTCTCTATTCCTAAATTCGCTCTTTTCTTTCAAATCGTTCACAAATCTCTGCTGTCTTTCACGACTCCAATTGATTACGCGTTCCATTTCAAATTTAAAATCCTGCTTCTGTATTCTTTTCAACTCTTTGACTTCCTTTTTTATTTGTTTCTCCAACTTCTTCAACTTTTTAGCTTCTTCTGAACAACATGAAGTGGTTGGGGGGGCTCTCGTTGGAGCTGCTGTCGTTGGAGCTGCTGTCGTTGGAGCTGCTGTCGTCGGAGCAGGTGGTGGATATCCAGGTGGTGGAAAGCCAGGTGGTGGATAGCCAGGTGGTGGATTGGTGGGTGGTGGATTGGTGGGTGTTGGAATGGTGGGTGGAGGAATGTTGGGTGGAGGAATGTTGGGTGGAGGAAAGTTGGGTGGAGGAAAGTTGGGTGGAGGAAAGTTGGGTGGAGGAATGGTGGCTGGTGGAAAGATGGGTGGTGGAAAGATGGGTGGTGGAAAGGACGGAGGTGGGTTTTGACATGGTGGTGTTATACAACATGGCGGCCGGCGACATTGTATATGTGGAGCCCCAGATGTGGAATTGATCATCTGAAGAACCTGGTTGAACGCAAGTTGCAGAACATCTTGCTTCACCTTTTTTGAATTTGAACACAAAGCACGAATGGCTTGAAGATCTGACTCCTTTGGAATATTGATGCTACCACCACCAGCCTTTTTTGCTTCACTACATATAAGTGCGATTGCATTTGACGCCTGTGCAGGAGCATTTAAAAACTGCAAGCATATCATAACTTTTTTCGTTTTGGAATAAATATTATATTCAGTGGGGTCTTATTACCAAGCTCACCTATCCAAATAGATTTGTCCATTGTCGCCCATGTATTTGGCCTTAATGAAGTTAAATTATGGACACGCAATGGGCTAATATATTTGGATTTGCTATAGTTATGGCAAATACCGCATGTTAGCCAATGATTTGTTTTGGGTTGTGCAATTTTTATATGGTTTTAAAATTTTGTATTTTTGTGTTCTGCTCCTGAAAGGTATAAGAATAAATACGGTTTGTGCAAAATGAAAAATTTAACAGGCAAAATGAGTGGCAAACCATAAAAAGCATATATATCAAGTATTTTCTTGATCAGCATGAAGAGACGAGTCCATTTAGCTCTTTCGGTCTGTCTGACCGTCTACAAGTATACTGTATAAATAGCTAGATCTCAGAGACCATAGGATCTAGAGACTCCAAAGAGAGACTAGAGACTCAGAGACTAAAGAGAAGTACGCAGTACAAGTATAATTCACCGGGCATCCGACTTAAGCTTTTGTAAGCTTGTTTAATTCTGGCAATTCGTCCATAGCACCTACATTATCGTATCGAATCCCTTTTGATAACCTTGTTTTACTCGTATATATTTCTGTTTATAATACAATTGCATTATTTTTTTCACATTGGAGGAAAGAATGGTGGTGGATTGCTAGGTGGTTAACATGGTGGCGATATACAAGATGACTGCCGGCGACATCGTATTTTTGAAGCCCCAGGCGGTTGATAGTTGGGAGGTGGATAGTTAGGTGTTGGACAGTTGGGAGGTGGATAGTTAGGAGGTGGATAGTTGGGAGGCGGATAGTTGGGAGGCGGATAGTTGGGAGGCGGATAGTTGGGAGGTGGATAGCTGGGCGGTGGATAGTTGGGAGGTGGATAGTTGGGAGGTGGATAGTTGGGAGGCGGATAGTTGGGAGGTGGATAGTTGGGAGGTGGATAGTTGGGAGGTGGATAGTTGGGAGGTGGATAGTTGGGAGGTGGATAGCTGGGAGGTGGATAGTTGGGCGGTGGATAGTTGGGTGGAGGAAAATTGGGTGGTGGATAGTTAGGTGGAGGAATGGTGGGTGGAGGAATGGTGGGTGGAGGAATGGTGGGTGGAGGAATGTTGGGTGGTGGAAAGGATGGCGGTGGGCTTTGACACGGTGGCGTTATACAACACGGCGGCCGGCGACATTGTATTTTTGGAGCCCCAGATATGGAATTGATCGTCTGAATGAACTGTTTTGTTAGGTTAACCTTATTTGAATTTAAGCCCAAAAGACGATCACTTGAAAGAATTTTGATACTACTGGCATCATTTCCATTTAACGGCTGTGCAGGAACATTTAAAAACTGAAAGTATATCAAGACTTTTTTATTTTTACAATAAATATTATCGGTAGCTGTGTCTTTTTAACAAGCTTACCTATCCAGACAGATTCTTCCATTCTCATCCATGTCTTCCGCCTTAATGGGGTTAAAATATGGACACCCATAGCTCTAACTTATTTGAAGTTGCTATTAGTATGGCGCACATCGCAAGTTAGCCAATAATTTGTTGTGAAATTAATAATTTCACAATTTTTAACTTGTTTGTTCTGGTAGTTCGTTTCGAAAAAGTAATGAAGAGGATGGGAGTCGATTACATGAATACAAGTTTGTAGTAATTGTTATCCAGAAGTAAACGTTTTTTATTTGATAGAATTTGTTACTTTAAAATTTAATATACATTATGAATTGCTTAAATAGGTGAATAGTGTGGGCGATAACGCCTGCAGCACCTACATCGTCTACATCGAATCGATTCCATTTGTTTTATATTTCTCTGTTCTTCAAGCATTATTCTTCTTTTTTCCCTTCTTTGCTCCTCTTCTCTGCGTCTTTTACTACTTTCTTGAATTTGGTGCCAGCAGCGTTGTTCCTTTAGAAGTTTTTGCTTTTCTTTGAATTTTTTCAATTCATCGTAAGATTCTTTAATTTTTTTCCTAGTGTCCTCCAAATCTTTACAGCACCCAGGAGGCTTTGCACTAGGAGGTGGAGAGGTAGGAGGCGGATTCGTAGGAGGTGGAGATGTAGGAGGTGGATTGTTTGGTGGTTGATAGTTAGGGGGTGGTGGATAGATGGGAGGTGGGGGATAGTTGGGGGGTGGGGGATAGTTGGGAGGTGGATAATTGGGAGGTGGATAGTTGGGAGGTGGATAGTTGGGAGGTGGATAGTTGGGTGGAGGAATGGTGGGTGGTGGAAAGATGGGTGGTGGAAATATTGGCGGTGGGTTTTGACATGGTGGTGTTATACAACATGGCGGCCGGCGACATTGTATATGTGGAGCCCCAGATGTGGAATTGATCATCTGAAGAACCTGGTTAAACGCAATTTGCAGTACATCTTGTTTCACCTTATTTGACTTTGAACACAAAGCACGAATGGCTTGAAGGTCTGACTCATTTGGAATTTTGATACTACCGCCGCCAGCCTTTTTCGCTTCACTACATATAAGTGCGATTGCATTTGACGCCTGTGCAGGAGCATTTAAAAACTGCAAACATACCAAGACTTTTTTATTTTTACAATAAATATTTTCTGTAGTTGTGTCTTTTTAACGAGCTTACATATCCAAATAGATTTGTCCATTCTCACCCATGTCTTTCGCCTTAATAGAGTTAAAATATGGACACGCAATGGTCATAAATATTTTAAATGCATTCTTAGTAATTTTATACTTTCGTTCTGGTAATTCGTTTCAACAAAAATAAAAAAAGAAAAGTGGATGGTACCCGATTAGAACCCGATTGGTTAATTGAAATTTCGTAGTTAAAAATTTATACATATTATGAATTGCTTAAATAGGGGAATAAATGACCACTGCGTCTACATCGAATCGATAATCTTTGTTTTATATTTCCCTCTTCGTCATGTACTTGTTTTCGTTTTTCTCTTCTTTTCTTTTCGGTTTAATGCAGCTGAAATTATAAACTTCCGATATTTTTAATTGCACATACTTACAATAACTTGCTTGAAAGAAATGTGTACTTAATCATACTTTAAATCTTTGCTTCGATTGGTAATACTGTATGTAAAAGAATTGTAATTGCAGTTATAATTCAGCTACAATGTAGCATTGCTAACAATGTTATTATCCAATTATTATTGTAAAGGTAATATAGATGTACAAATATAAATGAATTTAATATAAATATGCATCGATGCAAATATTAATGTTCTATTCTTTCTTTATTTAAAATCTGTCAAATAAGCTAACTTTTAAATGATTCGAGGGAATATTAACGAGAGCTAGCCGCTGATTTGGGTTACTTTCGAGTCTGCGAATGCAATTGTGGGTGAGATCCTTTCAGTGCGAAATTAGTTGTAGGAACCAAGTAACTACTCTTCTTATTATATTTCAAACGTTTTTGCAACCATTTAAAGTTGTATGAAGCCATGACAGTTGTTCTTGTTGTCGTAGCAGGTTTTTCAGTTCCAGAACTTATTTTAATTTTAATGGTTTGCAAGCAGCCGGCCCTTCTCATGCGACACCTCGGCCTAATCCTTGTTAGCCGTTTTCAGCACGTGAAACATTTGGCAAATGGCTCCGCTACTGCCGCCACCATTTTCTTGGGATTCCATTTTTTTTCGCGCATTTTATGCAAATGAAAATTATTTCATTTCTTTTCGGCTGTTTGCAAATGTGGCAACTTAAGCTTTTTGGTAGCATTGCCTACCGCCTCTCTACCCAACTGTGTACCTAGCCGTGACGCATTAAGCCATTGACTGAGGTTGTGATACCCAGACAACCCGGTTTGTATGTACTATATATATAAGTACTTACTATATGTGCACTGAAAAAAAAACAAAGTCTTCTTCCGTGGAGTTTTTAAATCTTGTTCGAAACAAATACATGAGACATGTGTGTGTAATGCGGAAGCTTTAAATGAAACAGCTGTAGATAGATTCCTAGTACATATCTATTCATCTAGCTACATGATTATAAACATTAAAATATAAGAAATTGCGTTCGTTTTTAAAATTACCAAACTAAAAAAAAAAAAATACTTTTTTATACATTTAATTAAAATCAATAAAAATAATTTTAAAAAATTAATTTTATCTGAGTGTAGCCAGACATATACGACTATATGTACATACATTTATGTATGTATGTTTGTATATGTGTGTCGCACTACCGAATCCGCACAGCTTATTGGCACTCAGTCTGCTTCGTTTTGTTTGCCTGAGTTTTGTCTTAAATGTGCGTTGCGTGACTTTTGTGACTTTTATATTGCATTGCCGCAACATCAGCTCACAACCAACCATTCCACTTAGCTCCATTCCCCGCTCTCCAATCGGCAAGCCCACTTGCGAGGACATGCCATAGTCATCGTCGTCAACGACGTCGTCAACATCAACATCAACACACAGAGCTAAGTATTATAAATGCTTTTGAGTCTGGGGGCCTACGTTGCCTGCGCATTTTTATTCTCTCATTTTTGATGAGCATAATTTTGTTAAAGTTGCTTTACATATTTCCGGGGCTACGTGCAAGCGGGGGCATGCAGACATTTTGAGGGGTTGTGGAGAGGGGGGGTTGGCTTTATTAAATGGCGCATAATTTATCAGCGAGAATTTGTTGCTCTCCATATCATGTCGACCAATTTCATGGCTACAAAAAGGTTAATATTACGATTTTACCAAGATAAGTCTTTATAGAACAATCTGAGCCAAGAGGCAGTGTAAAAGGGCGAGTTTTTAGTTATAATTTAATTTAACGTTACTGGGAAGTGCAGGAAAAAAGCCCATGGGCTTTGTTCCTCCAATTAGCTGCATATGTGTATCGTAGGAAAGAGCATGCAGCATGCTGACGAAGTCGAGAGCACGTCTTAATTGAAACTTAATTACCCTGACCGCAATGAGTGAAAGTTGCCTGAAGTTGTACGCAGAGCCACAACCCTTAATCAATATATGGCACACACGTACACAAATAAATGCAGCTATACAATCGCACATTTTAGCGGCTTTTGGCTTGTCAGTAAAGTTCCCCTCCATATGCCAGGCCAATACAATCAGTTTCGGAATTAACTCTCCACCACTATCGACAACGGCCAAGTAACGGCACATTAATTAAAAGCATCTGGCTGGGTAGATACTGGCACTTTAATTTTACAAGCAACGAAGAAAAATTGAAGGGGCGGTGCGCCCTCTAAGTTCAAGGCGTCACAACGGATCAAAATCTACACGCAACTCGTGTCTTAATTTCAAAACGACAAAGCCAGCGTGCTCTTAATTGAGCGAAAAACAGCTAGCGGGCTTAAAGTGTATCAAATGTCAGGCATAGCTAGAGGACAAGAAAATGGTTACTAACAAGAAAGCAAGCATGTTTTGAATTTACTACAAATGTTAGCTTATGAGTTATTTAATAGAATTAAATAATAATGAATTGCGACTATTTCAGCTAGATTTCTGAACGGTTTGAAATGTGTCAACCATGAATTTCCAATTGGATTCGTTATGCTTATAACGTAATTAGCAAAAAAGAAACTATTTTATTCACAAAATTATTTTTTTTGATTTACATAATTTTTTCTGTGCCTTCTATCAAATCATACTGAATTGATTGATATTCACGACCATCTTGAAATTTGTTTAACATCAGTATGTATATCGTAATGATCAGTTGGTTAGTAACAGCTTAAGATTTACGACCATATAACAACGTTATGATAAATCAGCAAATATTAGCCATTCAGAATTTCATTACCACATGAGTTAACATTAAGCTTGCTTAGAAGTTTGTATTAATTCATTAATATACTAAGTACAAACGTTCGTATAGAGAAATGTGTCCATCTGTGGTCCGGCTTAGATATTGATTTAATAATGTCTGTATTTGCAGGCAAGTGGACTAACGGCTAGGACATGACATAAAGTCGTTGTTCCTGGCTTTTCATGCTGACTTGCTTTGTGGGTTGACATGAGTCTTCAGCTTGTCTACAGCAAATTATATTGCATACGTTGAGGCGCGTGCGAGCGTTAGAGTTACAGGCGTCCTTTCGTTTTTATGTGCGTGTGTCATCAATAAGGAATCAAAAATCGATTAAGCATGTTAGGGACCACGCCCTTCACGCCCTTTACGCCCTTTACGCATCAGCCGCAAACCGGTAATAACTTTTATGGGCCGGCATTTGAAGCTGTCCTGGCGGCGAATTTCTGTATCTTTTACGAGCTGCTGTTGCCACTTTCGCTCCTGCTCCTGTTTTTCAACACAAATTGCGTCTCGCAAAACTTTTAATTACGAAACGTGCGCTTGTGCGTGTTCCTATATATATAAGTACATATATATATACACATATTTATTTATGTACATATAAAATATATGTGTTTGTGCGAAATATAAATTCTTGGAATTGCTGTTTAAAACATTAATGATGGCTAATTAACAGCACCACAATTGAAATGCTTAACACATTGCGATACATTGATTGATATTTATTGTTAGCAACAATACAGCAACCCTATTAAAGTTCATTTTGATTTTCGCGTCTGGCATTCCATAATTGCGGGAAAGATGGGGCGTGTATGCTTGATAGAAAACATTTATATTCCTTTTAAAAAAAGGAATTTGTTTTTTGGTTGCAGATTCGACCATTGAATGATTCGAATGGAAATAAAGCTTTTTTCGTATTAGTCCTTATTTAAAATCTGCTCTGGGTTTGATTATTACATTTTTTTAGAACTTATGACTTCGATATTATGCTTCTGCGATCTAGAAAGTCTTCTGTTTGTTACTAATTTGGTGGGATTCTCTCTATACATATCCTGACGAATCTCATAATAAATTTCGGTTTTCTAAAACTCAGAACATAACAATTGAATGCTGTATGAATGTAATTCAATGGGGTTGTTTATGCCAAATAATAGTAATAAGTAATTATAATTGTAATGCAAAAAAATTTTAGGGCTATTGTTTTTAAGTCGATGCAAATGGTTGATGTAAGCAAAATAGCTAACAATCAAAATGATTGAATACAGATATATAATATGTTTTTGTTTTCCTACTTGCAGCTTCACTTTTGAGGACTAAGGCACCGTTTCAAGGTAAGTCTGCACTGTTAAAAACTTTGTTGCGCGAGCAAACCAGTTCTGCCAAAAATCTATTTCAACAGCTGCCGTCGTTGGCGATGCACCCTAAAAAAGTCTTGAGCCCATTAATTTTTTAGCAAGCCACTGACCAAATTATATGGCGCACGCATGAAATTCTCCGATATCGTGGGTCCAACTATGATATTCCTTTAGTGCAACGGTATACAGGACGCTGAAGCTTCGTTAACTTGAAAACCGGCATGACCGGCTTCAAGCAGCAATATCTGCGGGTATATCGACGACATCTGTTTGTCGGCCGCGATCGTGTTACCTGCCTGGGCAGCAAAAGCAAAGGGAACAGCAACACCAACAAAGGCAAATGAAGCAGCTTTGTTGTCAGTCTTCTTTGATTTGAGCGGCTAACATTTGTGGCAGGTGCAAATTCGAGGGAGCATTTTGGTTTGCGTTTTCGCTTTGGATCGTCGTCTGACAGTTCGGCTGTTCGTTGCTTGCGTCCGTTTAACTGATTTACCTGACACACCTGCTGTTGTTGTTGTTGCTTGCTTTGCCAGCTCTACGTGCCGTTGCTTAATTCGATTTGGCGCAGGTAGCAAATGTCGTCGTCGCTTGGCCGTCGCTGATCCTTTTTGTGCTATAATAGGCTTTTGTAATGTATTTGCTTTTGTTGCTGGTGCTGCTTCTGCTGCCTTTGCTGTCTGTGTTTATCTAAAGTGCCTAAGTATCCTGTTTCATGGCTGTTGTGTGCAGCTCTTAAGATTCTTATCGCTGCACTTTTGATGTTGTTGGCATTGTCGCTGCTCCTGCCCATCATCAGCAACGGCAACGGCATCGCCAGTGTCATCCTCATTTTGATGCTCATCCTCATCGCCATCATCGTCATTGTCAATGGCATGTCAAAATAATTGTCATAAATTATTTTGTTACCTGCTACCGGGTGTTATTGTCGTTTTATTATTTTCTCCATAGTTGTCTTTTTATGACTCCTGTCCATGTGTTAATTGCATTGGCTTTTTTTTTCTTCTTTGTTTTCGTTGCAGTCGAATAGTTGGCTTGTCGACCTGACGCTGTGACGATGAGGAATTTATAAAATTCAAGGTGTAAATGTAATTAATATTTCATATTACTGACAATTTTGTCCGCTTGCGGTTGTCCTCTTCTTGAGGTGGTTATGCCAATTAACCGGCGTTTGCCTTTTTGACTGCTACAAGGTTTGCAAGTTGAGGTTGTGCGGCTTGTTGCGCTGTTGCGGCTATTTCAGTTACATTCGTAGTGAAGAAAATGACGAACATGATAAATGAATGGGCCCCATTTGGAAACCCAACTCAAAGTAGTCATCTTAATAATTAATGAAGACACAAGTCATACGTGTATACCCGCAATTGTCTGGAGATTGCGAACTGTTTTAACATTTATAGTATCTTCAGAAGCATATTTCATTATTTTTGGATGCTTAATCTATTTGCAAATAATTGCATTTCTTCCCTGGCCCTATATTTCTGCATAGCTCTGTTATTTGAACTTGTGCTGCTATTACTTGTAGTAGCCCAGTCGAGGAGGCATCAAAACGGAGCTGCGCTTAGCTTAACAAGCAAAGACACTTAAGCAAATAGAATTTCCTTCATTAAAATGAATGAACTGCAAACCAAACCAAACCAAACCAAAGCGAACTAAACCAAACCAAAGTCTGCTCTGGAGGTGGTGATGGAGGAGCGGTAGGAGTAAGGCATAGAAGTGGCAAGCAGTTGAGATGCTTGACTTAGTTCATGAAGTTGTCGAGCAGATTCAAGAAAATTACAAATGTGTACACGGGCACTTCAACTTGAACTGCCGGCATCTCCATCGCCATTGCCATCGTTGTTTTTGTCGTTGTCGTTGCATTTTCCCACTGTTATGCCACGACTTTTCCCATTGCCCCCCTTTGTTAGACAGCAACCCACACCATTGAGATAAAAACTTTTCGGCAGAGAACCGAAACCTAACTGAACCAAAAATCGATAAGAATAACACAACAGAAATGCCAGTCGGACTGCCAGAGACTGACTGGGAAGGCACGTAGACGGCTCTAGTGGGTGGATGACTGTTTGGTTTGCTTTACCACGTCACGTCATTTTGCCAATAAATGAAAGAATAGGAAGAGAACGAAACAGTGAGACAGAGAGAGAAAGCGAATGGAAAACATTTTCATTCTTTCTTTTTTTCTTTCTTTGCTGCATTACATTTGACAGACGGTGAAAAGTACGTGTTTAGTTATGGCCAAAAAATTGTTGTGAGGCTGAGAACTTTCGGTGGGGGCTGCCAGTTTAAATCGTTGAATAAATCGATAGACAGAGGCTGCATGTACGTACTGTCAATTGATAAGCAGGGACAGGCATCCAGGATGCTATGTCGCCTATCAATTCGATTGAGGAAATATCACTTGAAGTGTCTACCTTGCCTTGTCTTCCCACGCGATTCCGTTTGCCATAAAATAAAACGAAACGAACAGAAAAAAGAGAAAAAATAGCAACGAGAAACCAAAAACGTATCACAGAAGACAACTGCGTCATGGAGCTGGCCGTCATGCCACTTGAGAGGAGCCAAGTCGATTCAAGTGCAAATGAGAAAGGACAGTGAAGTAGTTTTTGCTGGAGTGAGATTGGGAAGGACGAATAGGGAGTCTGCTCTGTCGGCTGAGCTATAATATTTATCATTTTTCACTTGGCTCAAGTGACAAACGAGTGGATGGAGGGAAGGGCAGGGACTGAAGGCGTACGGATTGTACCAAAAATTGAAAAATGGCCCAAATGGCAAATGTTTGCCGTTGCTCGAGCCTCCACCCCCCAATGCGGAAGTCGCCATAGGGCGTCACACAGTCAATTACAATTTGTAATGCGCTTGGGTTTGTGGTCGTTCGGGGCCATGGAGTTGTCATGTCTGTCCAGCTACCTACCTGGGACGCCTAAGCCTAAGAGACATACAGGGGGACATCATTAACAACATTTGGAGGGCATTGTGTATATATGTCACATGCCTAAGTATGTCAGTTAGTCAACTAGCTTCCAAGCATTCCCCGACTATCATTCTGTTACATACACGAGTATACACTTTGTATTTACTTTGTCAGTGCTTGCGCATATCCTTACTAAGGATGTGCTAATTTTCTCATTTGTTGGTAAGACTTGTGGGTTTTCAAGCAAAGATGCAAAATAAGAATCTACACTTTCATATCCGATTTAAACAATTACGTAAACGATAGCAATAAATTAAAGATGAATGCGTTCAATAATTCGGGTTTTTGTCATAAATATATATATTTATCGTTTGCATTAGAAAATTAAATTTACTTAGATTTCAAGATTGCCTCCTATAATAATTAATTGTAATCTCAAATAGACTGGTGAAAATTTGAGATCCAAAAAGAAAGTATAATGCAAGTATATTAATTCCATTGGACTGGAAATGATTAAACTAGTTTCCAAGAGTATACCGTCTTCGGCGAGAGTAAAAATTGGCTTTTTATATCTTTTGTTATCTCTGCTGTCATGACAGTTGCATTTGTAGCTATATGAGTCAGTCTGTGGACTTTGCCAGCTAGCCCCCGGGCCCCTCACTAATTTCTGTGGTGACCGTGTGCCTACATCGGAGTTGCCTAAAAAATGGTTCTATGCGCCGTGGCTAAAACGGAAGTTTTTCAGCTCGTCGTCGTTGGATGGTGTCTGCCTTAGATTCCTCTGTAATTTATGTTTCTATGTCAGGCCGTCTGTGTGCCATGTCCGTTAGCTGCTTCTGTCCCTCATTCAGCTTGCATGCCAGCCTGCTAGAAGCCGGTCTGGATAAAATCCTGCCTCGAACGTTTCGTGTTTCGACTTTAGATTAAAGTCTCATTTGCCAGGTGTTTTTAAGTTGAACTTCCCTCTGCCCACGCATCACGCTTTTATGTGCTTGGTTTTTCTTTGCCTTGTCGTTCCTCTTTTTTAATGCGGCTTTTGCTTTTGTGTCGAGTAACTGCTGCTTTTTATATCCCTTACTAGTTGTTTTCGCTGTTGATGTTGTTGTTGTTGCGTTTGTAGCTTTTGTTGCTTTTGTTGCACCTAAGTAGGCTACATGCTTTACTTTGCCCCTAGAATATACACTCATAATGTCACGCTTCATTTGCGCTTCAAGTTTTGCTGGCCATTGAAATCAGTAGAAGTGTGCGTTTGTGTGAAAAATGCGTTTGCTGATAAAATTGTAAGATATCTGGGGTCCAAGAGTATCTGGCTGCGAACTGTGCCAGATCTTAATGAGCAACTGCAGAGCACCGCTTCCGCCAACACTCTTGTGCATACTCGTAAGTATGACCGAAAAAATTACTGCCGCTTTATGCCAAGCGCCACTCACTCGAGCCCCATGATTAATCTCAACACTTTCCGACCCATTAATTTCGCAAGCAACCCCCTCAAGGAAAATGCCACGACAGTGAGAGATAAAACGAAATGCCCGATTGCAAACGGCACTTCGCCCTGAGTGCGCACAAGGTGGTTCGTTGGGGAAAGGGTGGCAAGAAAGGGCGTCTTTATCCCTTCGATATGTACTTATACATATATAAGGTGCAGTTCATCAATGGTAAGCACACACTCACCTGTGATTGGGGTTGACAAATTGAAAAAAAGCTGGGGTGGTTACTAAATGATTTTTTATAATACTTACAGACCTGTGATTTAATTCTCTACAACACTTGCTTGCACTCTAGACTTGCTTAACATTATCAATATCGTGAATAGATTTAAAAAAATGTCTACCTTCTTAAATGCATAATTTAGAAAAGGAGCATTAACTGCTGGGTTGTTTAAAGATTAAAGCCCTTTAATGCATGTCAGTTTTACATATTAAAGATAAAGTATGAAAACTCACATTATTACCTAAAACGAAAAACAACATTGAATGCTCCGATTGGATTCAACAACTTTTGAGCATTCGCAATAATGTATGCATAATTGATTTTTTCGCATTCATGAAAGCAACTAATTAAAGCTTAATAATTAAAATAATATTTAACTAATCGCATTACAGTGTTTGTTAACTCAATGATGAATGAATAACTAATTATAACTTGTATTATTTTGTTGTATTATGTTCAACTTTATTTTTAACAAAAATCAACAACATTTAGTTGTCGCTTGGAACTAATCCTAAGTGATGTAGATCTGAATCCCATATATGGCATATACACAAAGCTTCCTCCTCATCTGTTGCAAAAAGTGCCAAGTGCTGCGTTTTGTGGCTTAGTCTTTACACTGATTTTAAGCCATCACCACCTGCCCCCACCCACCTAGTGTGTGCGTTTTACAACATTGTGATCATGTTAAAAGGGACGGCCCTGTTGTCTGTGGATTTGCGACAATGATGACGAGATGAGGTGTTAAAGTATCTATTGTGACAATAGATTGAGCTGAGGCAATGATGAGGCTTTGTGTTACGCACACATCCACAACAACATCTCTCCCTCTCCCTTTCTCACTCTTTTGTCACACTTGCACACATTTATTCGTATTGTTCACTCGTACATGGACATGAACATGGATAGCAATGCACTTAAGGTGTATGCTCGCCCATTTCGTTGCCAGCCCATGGGGCGTATGTGTCGTAAAATGGCTAAAATATGGCCAAGAACTGAGGAGGTACATACGAGTGCAGAGCCTGACCAACACTGTCTCTTGTCCACTCATAGAAGCTCAGGAATACACTCGGAGCTGTTCCATTTCATATATTGGTTGGCTTGGCAACCCCCTAATTTATTTTCAAAATAACAGGGCAAGCAACAGCAGCAGTCGTGTGGGGAGCGAGGGGAGTGGAATTGGTAAGAAAAAGCGTATTTATTTTTCTCATTTTCCTTTGAGGCAATTTCAGGTCAGGATACAAAATTACATTTGTGCCTTTAATTTATTGATGTTTGAATGCGTTCGTTGGCTAGTTGTGCAAATGGCTGAGCAGCTGCAGCAAAAACAGAAGGTAGACTTGTGGGCTGGGGTTTCCCCCACTACACTTTCGTACTGCGCAGTGCTATAATTTCTTGTTCGGTCAAAGTCGAAGCAGACATTGAACACAAGTGGCATATGGGGAAACCCTCATGTTTGGCCAAGTACTATGTGTAGGTGTCGATGTGTATTTGATTGTGTGTTTCTGTTTGGGTCACCTTGATCCTAAGCTCACACTCACACACATTCATCAGCACACCTTTTTAGGGGTCAATGTTGTTGCTGCTTCGGTTTAAAGGTCTCATTCTGTATTTTCGACAGCCGTGAAAATTGCCAACTAATAGATGCACAGACATACATACATACTCGTATCTATGCGGAAATATTTGGCAATGATTCTGGTTCTGGGGTTTCTTCTTGTTGTTGGCATATAGTGAGTAATTCGATTTAAAGGCGATTAGAGAGAAGGCTCTCCACTAATGGCCGGAAGTGAAACGAATGTTGATGAAAGGGTTCGTTGTTCATACTCATCATGGGATATTCGTCCATGGGATTTTTGCAGATATTGACACGTGGCTCGACGGTTACTTAAGTGAGGTGGAAAACGGTTTATGTTTCTATTTCTTTTTTCTGGTTTGGAGAGCCTTTTTCACTTTGCAAAGGTAGGCTAAAGAGCTGCAAAAATTTGATCAAGATTATTATTTACTTGATTGCAGATATATTAAATTAAATTAATTAAAGCTATACAAATTGAGTTAAATTGATGGTTGTGAACTCCTGATATATTTGTTATAACAAATATTTTGTTTTTTAATTGACCGCATAATAATATTTATAGTACTATTCGATTCGATGCGATTTCGATTTTTATTTGGTCGCATATTTTTCATCTGAGAGTTACAACGGATTTAAAACAGACGTATTACAATAATATTATATTCGAGAATGAATATTCGAGAGAGCATGAATACGAGTATCTGTCTTTACAGATTGTCATGTAAGTGGAGGTTGGAGTTTCCGTTTTGGCTGAGAGCCGAGCATGACAAATTCCCTTGAGCTTAAAGGCTGCGTTAAGCTGCAGTCTCGCCATACGGATACTAGCGGCATGTGGCAAGTAGCCATAAATTATAACTGCTGTCGTTTTTTTGCTTTTCACTGCCGTCCGCGACAACCTTTGCCCCGTGGCTCGTTAGCTTTGAATAGAAAATCCCGTGCTCAAGCTGCTGCTCCATTGCATATGCTGTAACTTATTTACATGGCTCGGTCGTGTGCTTAAGTTTGGCTTTGGCTTTCTTTGTTGCCACTGCTCGTTGCACGTCGCTGCCGGACAGTCAATCTGCGTATAGTTTGTAGCTAGGAACTTAATCCCACATGCTAGACAACAAAGAAAAGAGCAAATTTATCATGTGCTGCAATGAGCAACGCAGCAAACTCTAAATAAAAAAGAAAAGACAAAGCAGCCAACGTTTAAATTTTTGCAGCTGAAATCCTTTGTCACGCGCCAGTAGTGCGAGTTAAAGTGCAGTATAAAAGTGTGTGTGCGAGAAATGCTGCCAAATGCCAAATGCTGCCAAATTTTCTGTCTGATGTCAACCCCTCAAAACTTTGACTGCAATGAAAAGTTTAGGTTGCACACACAAGCTCACGAATACTCACACGTTGCTTCAATCGTGTATCTGTGTATTGCCCGCAAAATGTTTGTGTACGTTTTATGCTAATGTTTTAGCAACAATTTTGCCGGCGGCACCTTTGGCAGGCAGGCAAAGGCAAAGGTGTCTTTCCTCATTTGTTTTAGCTGCAAGGGACGTTTGGTATTGTTGTTGCTGTTGCTGTTGCATTGGCTCTGATAATATTTTTCATTTTTCATTGCCATTTGCACAATAGACGTGCACAGAAACAAAGGCGGCGATTGTCTGGAAAGGCGGACATGAAAGTTAGCTGCTGCAAAATTTACTGCCAGCAGTAAGGAGAAACAAACACACAGACACTTTGTCTGACATCCACGAAAATTTATATGACTGTATAACAAATCATCTATGCAAATAAACATAGAATCAGAAAAGGTGCACAAAGTTGCGAATGTTGCTTCAAGATATATGTAAAGATCACAATCGTTTCATTAAAATGTTATTTATTATTATTGTCAAAAAAGCGTAGTTATAAACACACTTCCAGAATCAATGATAAACTCATTTAAATGCTCAAATTTAAATTAAATAATTTCTGAAGTTTTATGAAAAGCTGCAACACAGATGTCAGAGCCATACGCCGGTTTTTCTTATGAAATTGAGTTTTGGAAAGCAGAAGCAGGAGAAATTCCGGAAGCACACTCCACATTTAGCCCAAAAAGTGATACGAAAAAATATATGTATATTGTGTGCATATATGTATGTGTATATGCGTCTCGCATATTTGTGATTTTGATAAATGTACACAACCGGGCCACTCCCATTCCCCTGGCAAGTTGTACAATGTTCAATTTTATTGTCTAGCAGGAAAAGTTAAACATTATTTCCTTATTTATTTCCATTTTCCTAAACTTCCTCGACCTTTAGAGAACCCTTTGCCATTGCCACTTGGTTGGCTGTGCGTGCAGCTGCTGCGCCTTTTTCCCAACCTCATTGTCGTTTGTCGTTGCTTGATATATACATATATATGTATATATTTTTTTCTTTCCTTGGCCTCAGGCTGGCACAACAGTTTTACAATCACTGTGCCACCCCTCATCATCAACAACAATAACAACGACAACTTTTTCCCTTGCAAATGAGATTTTGTTCACTTGTGCGCCGTGATAAATTGTTGATAGCTTTGGATTTTTACATTGATGCCTGCTAGGAATGCGGCAGCTGACTGGTATTTGAGTAGGGTGCTCAAAGTGCTTAGAGCTCTGGTATTGCAGGAGTGGTGACGGTTCATCGTTTTTGTTGTGGGAGACAAAAATTTTCTTGTAAAAGTATTTTTGGGTGCGTTGGATGAGGAATTTGTATTTTTTCTTGCTGCAAAGCGAATCATTGTTTTAATCATCAAATGCATTGACCTTAATTTTTTTAATGTTGCAGGGAAATATTTTGATGGGTGTGTCTGCAAATGACATCCTTAGTTCAAGACCCGTGGTGGAGTGAGTTATCTTTTATTTAGAATCCTTAAGTGAGCAATAACTTATACCAAAGCTTTCGTTCTCCTTTTTCTTTGTTGTATATAACCCCTTTTCTCTGCCAGGTTATTAAACTTGAACAATTTTTAGACAGTTTTGGGCAGCGACTAAGTAGTTTTCGTGCCTAATTGCGCAACTATGCGTTAAATTTAATTGCCAAGATGGCTGAATGGCTTTTTGGACAAGTTTGTAGGCTCACGTTACCCATTTTAACACTTGCATAACTTTCTCTAGTTCAAATGTTCTTCTTCTATCTTTTTAGGAATATTACTTTTGGGAACTCTATTCCTTGCCCATTCAAAGGTAAGTTTTTTTTATATCATTGTTATAAAAGCCTTGTAAAAACTGGACTCAAAATTTGTCGCAGCTCCGGTATTATAGGCTACTTACTCTGCTAAGGTACACATGAAAGACGTATTCATGTTTCAGGGGTGTTTTATTTTATTGGTATCATATTGTTTTTTTAAATATCGCAATTTTGATTTCAATGAGAACCGTTAACCTTTGCTTGTTTAATTAATATTTATTAGATGGATGTTAACTCACAGAATGAAATATTTTGCTTCGCAAAATTTAATTTGCTTGCTTTACAAATGCAAATGCTAAGAAATAAATCATGTGTCGAGCAGTTGTTTGACAATTCGTTACATAACATAATTAATTAAAAATGTGCATAAATGAACAAGAATAAAGCTGTGCTAAATAATTATGCCAGCAACAGAAAATGCAAATGAAAATGCCTGCAGGTAGCCAGTCACTGAAAATAATGGCTAAAAATTATGCGCTAATATTTTATGTAGCGTTTCTGGCAAAAACTGCATTACAAAAACAGCGAACCTTCAACTAAGCGACTTACACTCAGCGACCGAGCGCGCCAATGAAATCCAATTAAAAGTTAAAAGCCACAGTCTGAGTTTTAGGTGGGAAGGAAGGCGAAGGCGCCAAGAAACTCAAGAAACTACCGGCAACTGAACTCAAGTCAAGTCAAAGCACAAATGAAAACTTTAAATGTTAAATTTTGGGCCAGGCCTCGAGAAGCGTCCAATGGTCAAGTTGAAGGCTTCAGTGCGCACCGAACTGAGATATTGTGAGTGTTTAGCTGAGAGAGGGGGGTTAGATGGGGAATATTATAAATAACAGGCAAACACGCAAACAGTTTGAGCAAGTTTATTAACGTGGCTGTTTGGTAGGTAGAGTCCACAATATCCTGAACGAGTTAACAACGCCTTACGTGCAAAGCACGGCAAAAACAAAACTTTGCCAAAGCAGTAACAACAACAGCAGCAAAAACAACAACAGCAGTTGCGGAAAAGAAAAAAGTTTGATTAAGTTCCTTGGCTTGCCTTAAAGTTCAAATGAGTTGAGCTGAGGGAACGAATTAACTAAACCAAGCCAAACTTGACTACCTCAGAACATTGGCAGGACAGTCAACCGTAAGGAATGTAAGAAGAGCAGAACATGTGGCTAAACAACGTGCTCGGGGTTTGAAAAGCTTTGGCGACGCGCAAAAGTATGCTACGGAAAATGTTTCCAGGCACGTGCGCGATTTGAATGCGTTGAATGGTTTCGGCGACTTCGGGCTCAGGTGGCAACGCCTTTATGATTATTGTCTTAAAATTAATCAAAGTGCGTGCTGCGGTCACAGGCGGGAGGACAGGTAAATAGGAACGCAGGCAGGACTAAGTTTTCCCGTATAGCTACGAATTTTTCTCTCTCGCTCACTCCCTATCGTTTCGCCTAATAGATTTTTGGACACCCACGGGCCTAGATGCAAACTGAATGCCCATTTTCTTGTTTGTATTTTGTGCTTAATAGATGGCCAAAAATTTCTTACAAACATACATACTTGAAATTAATTAAATTAGATGAAATATTTCAGAGTGGCTTGGCTTGACTTGGCATGACTGCGCATAAGAAATGTGCCGAACTGTAACAAATTGATGGGCCATTCAGGAAATGGGCAATCGGGGGGACAGACGTGTACACCATAAACAATTATGGACATGCACGCGACGTTTGTGGAGAAACTTTGGCTTAAGAAGTTTTGGCTGCCGTCCGTGAAGTCCATGGTGTTGAAATATGCAGGATGATGTGGCTAACAGAATCCCAATTTGTGTCAGTTTGCGGCATAACCGCAGATTTTACGTTGATATGCATAGTGAATGCGACAGTCGGTCGTCAGTTTAAATATTTGAATAAATTGGTGGTGGGACAATTTTCAGTTGATATTTTTTAATAGAAATCCAATATTAAATCTAAGAAAAGCGGGGGGAAATATATATTGTCTGTGCATAGGCATCATTTTTGTAAGAGTTGGTCTTCAGTTTTATTATTTGAACAAATAATTTACAATGAGACTGCGTTAACTGAAATTATGTTTTTTATTGAAGGCAAGGGATTGAGACAAGGGAATTATATACATATCAATTGAATGGGTACAATACTACCAAAATATTTAAGAACGTTTTGTAGCGAATTTAATTGAGAGCCTTCGGGTTAGCTAATAAAATGCAACAACTGAAAGTGCCTGAGGTTAAGGATTATATAATGGATAGGATTGAAATACTTTATTAAATGTTTCGGCAAGACTTTATTTCTTACGTCTCCTTGCTTTCTTAATTCATTTTTGAAATAAATAAATAATTATATGAGGGCAGTAAGTAAATGTAATTCACAACACAACTATACACTTTAATTTTACCAGTACCTACAAATATTGTTAATGTATCTCTTTAAAAGATATTACTGCTTAGCACCTGGTAATGGGTCAGCATGACGCCTTAACCGCAGGGCGTCTATCCACTTGGCTTTTTTTGAGTTTCTGCGCATTTTCAATTTAAACTTTTGTTTATATACAAAAGGCGTCAAAGCTGCCACTTCCTTGAAAACGCCTAAACATATGCCACAGTTTATCAACCTTTGAACTTATTTTGTTTTTTTTTTCCACTTTCCTCTGTGTTGTTATGCTGTTGCTGCTTACTTTGCATGCGCTGGTGTTTGCTTCACCGCGCAACGCTTCTTGTGCGTCTGTCATTTGTTTTCACTTTGGCACAAAAAGTTGCTCACAAAAGAATTCGCTGCTGTTGACGCTTCTGCTGATGACGTTGCCATCAAATGTCAAACGCCATTTTTATACATTTTAAATAGCAAAAAAATAAATAAATAAAAAAGAAAATGAAAAAAGTTAACTGCTGTGTGTTGGAAAAACTGTACGGCATTTCTCAACTGTCAGCAGTTTAAGCTGCAGAATTGGTATGGCAGAGGATGTGGCACCATCCCCAACGCTGGAAGCACCCGCACATCATTTCGCATAGCGCTTCATTCGGCGGCCCAAACCCTCAGACAATGTCGTTGTCAATAATTTGACATAAGTGTACAATTTATATACTCTATGCGAAAAGAGATGCCAAATATTAAGTCGTATAAGAAATATGTATATCTGCTGTGCAAAATTAAAGACGATTATTGAGTATATTTCGACACTATCTTACAATACTTTATAATCTGTACAACAAATCCTATTTGATGTCTTTATGTGCAGCCCATCTACTTATTTTTCCATATATTTAACATAATTCATGATAAAGTTTATCGCAACTACTTATATTTATATTCAAAATTATTATAATTTTTGACACAAGTCTGCAAAGATGACTGTAGACTATACATTTATTTATTTTAAAAACCTTTTTTCTTGAGTATTGTGTCTATTACATTGTATGTGTATTATGAAAGAGTGTTTGAATATCGACGTCATATATAGAATACACTCGTCGACTGTTTCTGAAGCAAGTGCGCTGGCGCTCGATGTCTTTTATGGCTCTTTTATGAAGTTTTTGATTTAACGCACTGAGCGACAATTTCGGCCATAAATTCTTCCCAGTGTTTTCCAATAGGGTCGATAATATTTCTCTTTCTTTTCTGTCGCTACTGAGGGGGCGAGTAGGCCACCACTGCGATGTGAAGCCTCTAATGGCATCCGGAAATGTGCTCGGCACGCCATGTTTTTTTATTTGCTCTTTGATTTCGCATTTGGTTTCTATGTGGTTATTGTTGTTGTCATTATAGTGGTGTTTGCTTGTTGTTGCTTTTATGTTTTTATTTGCCGCTGATTATGATGCTATTTTTGACACCCGATAAAGTCAATAAACAAAATTGTCGGCTGGCCACTCAGTCGCTATTTTATTTGCGTGCTTTCATGGGCGTGGCTTTGACTCTGGTTTTGGGTTTTTGGTTTTTCGTCATGAATATTTCGAACGATGCTCATCAGCTTTTTTGTTTGTTCATGAATACATATATATTTGGATGTTCTTTTGATTTTTCCGCTGAAGTGCTCTTTTGGAAACTGGTAGGCTGCCTAGTTATTTAATTGGCTCTGTTTGCTGCCATGTGTAACGGCGCATTTCACGCAATCGTTTATAAAATTCAATTTTTACCCAACAAATCGAATGAACTACATATAGGTTCTATACATACTTATATGTGCAAGTAAATGTATGCGTTAATTCATCGGTTTTAATGCATTTTGTTAATTAATTTGAAGCCAAAGTTTTATTAATTGTTTTATTTTTCCATTTCATGTTAAAATTCAATTAAATTCTGACACTTTTTAACTGCAGGCCGTACCGCCAAAAAACTTTTAAGTAGTTCAGACAAGTTTCATTGAACATTATTTAAAACTAATGGCTTAAAATAAAGAGCGCTCATGGTTGAAGGATGGCGGAAAAAATACAATACATACAGTGTTTTGATTGTGGTTTTCAGTTAGAGTTCGCAAAACGGTGAATTGGTTGGTTTATTGGCAACTAAAAGGTTATTCACTTAGTGTATGCAAATAAAAATAAGTGTTGGGATTACAAGTTTTTTAATAGGATACTTTATAGTTTTCACGACTAATCTTAAATTTTTGTTATAACATTCCATAACAGTCGTGAATTCGTCAATCACTGCTAAGATAAGTTTCTATTCGTTAGAAATTTGATTGTTCCTTATCAGATATGTTGAAAATAAAAGTTTATGTGTTCTTTAGTGAATTATCTGAAAAAATTAACTGTTAAATGTGATCAAGAACGAAGCTGGCTAATAAACAAATAAAGTGGCAATATAGCCATTGGATAAATGACTGTTGCATCTCTTTTATATATATGTATAGTATAAGTATATATATTGCCCAAGTCCCAAAGATGATACCATCAATTCACTTGACGGACGCACGGGAAGCAGGATTCGAAACATTTCGACTACAAAGTGTGCGAGCAAAAGATTAAATATGCGCACAAGCAACAAACAACTACAGTTGTAGT